ACAAGTTCATTAAAAACTAAAAACTGTTTCTGTAAGGAATTTTTTTTTTAAATTTGCCTTGTTAATTCAGTTTAAGAAATCTGCATTACCCTGTTTTTTAAACCAGGTTTCAAGGCCATTGTTAAGCAAAAGAAGTCATATTTCTTTCTAAATCATTTTAGATTTAGTGTTGTAACTCTTCCTCACTTTGTTTTTAAATAAATTTTGTATTTTTTCCTTGAGGGGGAAGGGGCAGTCTTGCATTTTTATAACTTGTTGTTTGAGACCCAGCCCTCTATACTAAGATTGGATTTTTTTAATAAAATGGTATCTTTTGCAGACCCGGTATTGGCAGCGTAACAAGTGCTGCCATGTCATGCATCGGCTGGACTGACTTGTGATTGCTAGTTTTGAGAAAAATTTGGATGGAGTATTTGGATGGTTTTAAACCAAGGCATTTTCTTTCAAGTTCTTGTGAAGTGGATATGACCAGATTTACTCTTGTTTTTGGGGACAGCCTCACGCCATGCAGAGTTCACATTGGTTACTGCCCCAGGCTGTCTTCCTTCTCACTCCTATTCTAGCCCGGCTGAAAGACAGAAATACTTCTATTGCTGGTAATTCTTTAACAGTGTAATTTATTCCTTTATAGCATGTCAGAATAAATTTAAAAAAATGTCTGAAAATGCTGCCAGATGCCTATTGTGTAAATGTTGTTTGTATGTTAGCTTTTTAGACAGTTTCCATGCATGTAACAGAGTTTCTGGTCACAGTTCATACTTTTACTGTTTGAAAAGATCTTTCCTTTTGAAACCTGTTTCTTCAAGGTAATAATTACACTGTGCACTCTGTCATCTTAGAGTGGTAATCTGGATCAAGGCTGCACACTTGTGCAGTCACTATGCATACTGCCTGTACAGGAAGGATCTGCTCTGAGATGATAAACTTCAGCTGGAGAGCTTTGTGTGCTAACTAACAATTGGATAGATAAACTGGGAGTACAGGGAGGCAAAAAGTCTGCCAGGCTTCAGAGAGATTTGTGCATATTTGAAAACTTGTCTGATGTTTAAGAGCATTCTTTCTGTTACCTGGAAGATGAAAGAAATGTAGCTCATTCTTCTGGCTAGGGTTTTTTTTAAGGCTCATCCAAATAAGGATGTTTTATGTGCCATGCTTCAGATGAAGACTGGTGAGTTCCTAAACCGGTATCTAGAATACTATGCTAAGTCCTTATGTATGATTTTTGCTGTCTAGGCAATGCATCTGATGGCATGCATCAGCGTAAGAGGAAGAAGCATCAATGAAATGCCTCCTTGGCAGCTGTTTTCAGAGTGGCTGATTGGAATTGTTTAGTACCACTTCTCTTGCTTTGACATAAGATACTCTAAAAATTAGAGGAAATCATTTGATTTCAGGAGAAGAAATTGTTTCCTCTGTTCATTAAACTTACTCAAAATTTCTAGGAGGGTCATCAAAGTTTAAAAACAAAACTGTCCTTGAATAAGCAATGTAGGCAAGAACAGCCTGTAATGCTTGGCATGTCAAAATGTGTCAGTTTGTAGTTCTTGCTACTGCAAGCCTTGTCATACAGAAAGAGCGTGGAGTCCAGTTAGTCTTTAAACCTTGGTATGTGAAGGGGTTACTTCTACACAGAAGTGTGAGCTGAAACTGTCAGCTGTGTTGTGCTTTGTTGCAGAATACCAGCCTTCGCCAGACATGCTGAACAAGATGGCAACCTTTCTCAAAGAAATGCTGTGATGATATTGAACACATTTGCTGTATGATCTATTTGGTTTGTAACAAAGATTTAAAACTGAAGTATTAAAAACTATATGGATCTTGACTTTTTGGTTGCAGCTTTGCAAAGGTCTTGTGTTGAGAGGTTTACTCCTATCTGCTATCCTGATGCAAAGTCAAAAACTTCTTCTGCAAGGAAACCCAGGCCCTTCCGAAGTAATTATTGTTACAGCCATACAGTGCAAGAACTACAGCCGTGTGCTCCCTGTAAAGTGCTAGAATTCAGATAACGAAACAAGACTGTGACAAATAGGCTCTCAACCATCTTCCTAAGCTGTGTACAGTGTCTTAAAGCAGTTTATTAACTTCATAGCAACTCAGCCACCTTTTAAAGGCTTGCACAACTGGGAGGGTGGGGTACTTGTGTAATATACAAGTTCATTATTTTAAACTGGCTTTAACTTTTCCTTGTTGCAAGCAATTTGTCTTCTCCAAAAGGCAGAATGCTTTAGGTCTCATCTATTACAGTATTATCCTGCTGAGGAACGTTGTCCTGCATTGCCCACAATCCTACATGGTGTTTGGGTGATAGTGATGAATGCAAGCCCTGGCTTCTCATGCAGAAGCATCTGTGTTTGATTATACTGTGTCAACCTGCAAAAGCTATACGTTTTCTGCTGCTTTGGCAAGCCTGCCCATTGTATCTCACCCCATTTTTTTTGGTGATTTCTGTTGAATTTTATCTTTTTTTTTTTCAAGCTTACGTGATGATTTGTTCTGCCTGTTTTCTCAGTTGGCTTTTTCAGGTGTGTTGCTTATAACTTCCAGGACTTGGATGTGCCTTTGTGTGCTGTGCTTTTCCTTAAACAGATTTCAGCAGAGGCGAAGGCACCTAAGTCAGCTGGTGCTGCTTTGGGCGGGAGGTTGGTCTAGCTCCCTTCCTGCAGTTCCTTCCAACTGGAGTTTTTCTGTGGTCCTGTGTTAGCTTTTCACATAAGACTTCAACTTCTCTTGACAGCATTCTGCAATTCAGAAGATTTGTTGGTCAGCCAGCTCTGTCAGCCTGTCTGCTCCTTACTTAATCATGGTGAAATCATAATGATTTCGTATCAGCTTGATGTCATAATGCAAGTTTATGAGCACTGCAGGCTCCAGACAAAAGGAAGAAGTGGGCTGGGAGATAGAGCTGTCTGCTCTGAGCAGTAATGCCTCTGGAAAGATGAGGCAAGGGACGATGCAGAGGAAGTGCCCACCCTGCTAATTGGGCCTGAGTGGAACAACTGCATTCATGGCATGTTCTAATGTGGAAATTGCTCTTTAATGTAATCCTTATTATCTAGGGCTAAACAGGAAGAGGGGGAGGGCTGTACAAGGTCTTCATACAAAGAATTGAGATTGACTGTTGTGCCAGGAGATGTGTTCATCGTTGTTCATCGTTCTCGGCTGTGTTCATGAAACTTTTCAGAATAGACTGGCTGTTTATCCTTAGCTGTAAAGGAAAGGTGGTGCGTTAGGCACAGGCTATGCCCAGACAATGTCCCTCTTCTTAAAGGAACCACAGTGAGCCCAAATGCTTTGCACAGCTTAATACTAAAGGCATGAATGCTTTTAAGACAGTAATTTGACTTTTTTTTGAGTTGTAAGCTGTTTTTGGATGTGACTTGCTAGTGCTGGATTCAGGTGGAAATTTGAGGAAGCAAGGGGTTGTTCCTGCTGCACCGGGTTAGAGTGAACAGATTACCAAGGATTTGTCCATAAAATAGCTACAGAAGTGATGGGGCTGTTTTTCAGAGAACAGCTTGGCATTCTGACATCAGAATACCTAAGCACATTTTGAACCATTCCGTGTTTTCTCTCACCTCCCTGAGAGCCTTGTGTTCCTGTTGATAATACTGGTTGCTTTTTTTTTTGTCAACACAGCTGACTTGACTTCTCTTCTTTCCCTGAATTTAGAGGGATAGCATCAGTATGTGTAACAGAAATGCCATCAGAATTGCTGTGTGCGTTGGTTGTATTCAGAAGAGCAGGCTCATGTTTTCCTTTGCTGCTCCCAGTTCTCCTACCAGCCACAAAGTGATAGCAAGCTTTGAGCAACTTCGCAGGTGACGCTTTGAACTTTTTTTGAATGGAAACCTGGAGAACAATTTGTGATCATCAGAAGACCTTGAAGGAGCGCACGTGCTATCGTACAGGGCAGACTGGCTTTGAGTGTCCCTTGTTTGCTGCCAAAGTCCATATATTATGATAAATATGGGCCTTATCCTTTGTTCTTGTAAATACAGGGCATATGGTTGATTCAGCACAGTTCACATAACCAGCATAGGTGGGGCAGTGGTCTTGCATGATTCAGCTATGCTGTGTGGGGCCTCATGGTTCGGCAGGCCAAGGGCACAAGGAACAAATCTCACCTTTGCCTTCCTTGTGCCCTGAATGAGTCACTTTTGTGTGGCTTTGGCAGATACCAATGTCAGAGAAGTGCAATGGGACTTTGAGAATGAGGCAGGCAGGCAGGTATGCTGAATTGAGAACCCCCCAGGGGTTAAGGCTGGTTTCTGTGCAGCTTACTCTGCTGTCTAACTGGCTCGCTGTGGCACAAACCTCTTGTGGTTTTTGTGCACCGACTGGTAACTCTGCTTTTCTGCATTGTGTGCGAGTGAGCTTAAAGATCCTTGAGTCCATGGTTACACAGCTACAAGGGCTGATGTTTCACAGATCTTGCTGTCCCCAAGTACAGTGGTCTAGCCCTGGGACCAATTTGGGGTTTGCAGCTGGCTTGGGTATTGAGAAGCAATTTGTCGCTGCTGGCCTGCAGCTGGACAAGGTGCAGGGCGCTTGTCCGATCTTCGTCCAGTGCCAGCTGTAGGTAGGGCTTTGCCCAGGACTTCTCTTGTCCAAGGGAAGAGAAGCAAGGAAGGGTTTGCCTGCCTGCCAGCAGAGGGGGAGGTCAGCGCAGAGGTGAAGTGGAAACATGCGGGTCCTCTGAGCAACCAGAACATTGCTTAGGCAGCAAATAAATCACTCATGCACCAAAGGCTTCCCACTGGCACAGCTCTGAGCTTGATCTCTCTTGTTGGTGGCTGCTGGCAGGACAGCAGCTGGTGTTCAGCCAGGATTGTTTGCAGCAGGTGTGTCTGAATGGGATTACCTGGTGGGGTGAAGCCTGCTAACGGCTTCACAAGGATGTGCACAATGCAGCGTATATTCCTGTGCCTTTGGGGCCAGTTCTCACATTACACAGGCTGAAGCTCAGGAAACTCCTCTTGCATGGCACTGTTTGAACAGTAGGTATGGCCAGAAATTCACACTGACTCACATCCTGGAAGTGCTCTCCTTCCTTTCTGAGCCCCCTTCTGAGGAGGAAAGCAGAGTGAACCAGCTGTGGCCATTCTTTGCTCGGGCAGTACAGGAAGTATCAATTGATTTCTTTTATTAGATAACCTCATGCTACAATGGCCCTGTTGCATTGCTTGCTTCCAGGGAACAGAGAACCATCAATAAAACCCTGTTTGCTTTGCAGCCCAGGCGTGGGAAGTTGCTGCTGTGCCGAAGCTGTGCTGACAGGGCTGCAGCGAGTTCCTGGCTGGCTAGCCTGAAGCTCTCAACAAATCCTATAAACTGATTATGGTCGTAAGTCACTCTGCTAAATGACCTTTCTCCTCATAGTGATAGCTTTTTATACTGCATCACCTGACCTTCCTAGTACCTGTTGGCAGGGAGGCTTCCTGCTGCTGCCTGCCCTCTGCAGGCGGGGGCTTTCCTTTGGTGCCAGCAAGCAGCATGCTGTGCTGGAGCCCAGGAGGCAGAGCGGGGGCCTGGCAATGTGATGCTGATTGGAAGTGGCTTGTTTTTTGCTGCCTGACATGCAGACAGCTCCCAGGATCCAATCTGTGTGCTGCTGTACTCCGCCTTTCCTGGGGGAAGGCTGTTGGGACTGTCAGCTGTGTGGGGAGGCTGCCTCGGGAACCTGCAGAGGGGTTGGTGGCTGCATTCTGGGCAGGCTGGCTCGGCTGCGGCCACGCAGCTCTTCCTGATCATCCCTTTCAAGGGAGGCACTGAGTGTTGGGACAAGGCACACCTTTGTGCCCGTGCATCTCCGCGCAGGGTGTGTTTAAACATATCTGCTGCCCTTGGCGGGGTATGGCAGGAGGGAGAGGAAGCAGTTGTTCCAACACAGACTGATCGAGCACCAGGACCCACTGCTGTTTCTCAGGGGACACCGGTGTAACCCCCCAGGGGAAGCAAGAGGTCCTGAGGCTGCACACCCCCCATCAGTGGTGCTGGGCTGGGCAGAGCAGCCAGGCAGGCTGGGGAGATGAGCCCAGCGGTGCTCTCTTTGCCCAAGTTGGTGCAAGCACAGCCATGGCTGCTGCAGGGGGCTGGGGCTGTGTTTGCCCCCCACTTCATGCACACCATGCATGGAATGCGGGGGAACCTCAGCTCATGGGTGGGAGCAGCCTGCCTTGCTGTGCTTCCCCTGAAGAACTTGTCCCCTGGGCCTGGAGAGTGCGGGGATGTTTGGTGAGTGAGGTGGCTTCATCTCTGAGCCAGCATTAGGCCTGGCAAGTGAGAGCAGCTGAGAGTGTTTGTCCCTACAAGCTGTGCAGTCAGAGCAGGGTACGTGGAGCCTCCCTAGGGTGTGTCAGCACAGCACAGGAGGGTTCTGGAACCACAGCGTCCCTATGGCAGGGGTATGTATCACCCAGTCTGTTCATGGCAGCTTGTCTGCCCGCTATAACCTCAAAGACAAAGTTTAAATGCTAAGATAGTGGAACAATTGGGTAGAGATGAGCTCAGTTCTTCCTGGGTGTGTCGCAGTGCCTGCTGTGTGCTCCATGAAGCCGATGGCATGCACTGTGCTGTGGTGGGGCTGTTGGCCCCAGTGCTGGCAGGACAGTGGGGTGAGGAAACCAGTGTGCCTAGTTAAGGGCCGGGAGCAGTCCCGCTCCCCTAAATAGCTTGCCAGCTGCTGGTGCTTGTTAATGTGCATGAGCCACGGTGGGAATGTGGGGTACTTGGGATCCATGTTGCAAGGGGAGATTTTTGGGATAGGAGGGAATCCTAAACCCCAGGGAGCACTTTCCAGGAAAGAACTTCTACCCAAATCCCCCCTTCTGGGAGAGCAGGGCAGCCTCCCCAGTGGATTGCGACTGCTTTTGGTCTTGCCACAGTAATTGAGAATTGGGGCTGAAGTCCTGATCTCATCCTCTTAGCCACCATCCTCAGAGCTAAAGGCTGAACCAGCTCCACATCAGCTCTGACAGCTTTCCAGCTGCCACAGCTGACTGAGCGTCTTCAGGGTTTTGCCCTGCTCTGGAGACCTGCGTGCCTGCTCTGCGGCCATTGGGTTCACCCATGTTCCCTGCTCCTTCCCCTGCTGCAGGTGAGCAGGGTGGGTGGTGGTGAGGCTGGAGGCCAGCTGTTGCTTTCACAGCCCTGCTATGAGAGCTCCTTAGTGAGATGGGAATGGGTTGGAGCATGGTCTGAGCCAGGGGACTGCCTCCTCCACCCAGCCATGTCTGTGCCTGCTCAGCTAACCTGCTGCAGAGCCACGTGGCTGTGGTGCTTTGCACATAGCTTCAGAAAGAAGTCTTTAAAAGAAACCTCTGCTGGGTAACAGCTTGGTCTGGCTGCCCTCTCAAAGCAGCCTGCTCCGTTCCTGGGTCCCTGTAGCGTAGCTGGGGAAATAACACAGCTTCTCTTTCAGGGGGAGCTGAGCAGGGACTAAGCTCCTTGCTCCAGCTTGCATCAACAGGAGCAAGGTAATCCCCAGCATTTAGCCTGCCTCTGCCTGACAGCTGGAGTATGGAGGTGTCGCTGATGGAAAGCTGAGAGCAGTGTGGGAAGCGCTTTGGCTTGTAAGAGGGGCTCGAAGGCTGTGGGTGTTGTGTCTGGGCCCTGGGCTCTGCCCTGCAGGCGAGGAGCCTGCTGCTGCAGGTGGCACCTTCCTGAGCCAGCTGCACGCCCGCACGGCGTGTCCTCGTAGATAAGTGCTGCTGCCTTAATGTGCTTGCCAGGCAGGACCAACGCCTACCTCTCCAAGCTGCCATCGAGTTGAAACACTGCTCCTGCTCTTGGCAGCGTTTCATCAGGCCAGCGCTGCTTCCAGCTCTGCTGCCCCAGGGCAGTGCCCACACCTGCCCCGCAGGGCGGCTCCAGCCCTGTTGCCCTCCTCACTGTGTGCAGGGGGGGAAATGAGGCTGGGCATGGCTGTTGCCGTGGCCTCCTGCTCCTGCTGCCTTGGCTGCCCCTTCCCTCCTATCCACCCTGCTCTTGGCTGGTGCTGAGCACTTTGGAGCCCTGGCTGGTGGAGGGGGATGTCCCCTGGTACAGGGGCTGGAGGAAGAGAGCAGGGCCCATGGGACAAGTGGTGGAAATGCTGATTTATCTCCTGGGCCTTACACTGGTGTCTTTCCCAGGCAGGAGTGAGGGGAGGAAGGCAGGCCTAGACAAAAAAGAGTCTAGGCCAGGCCTGTAGGAGCCAATGCTCTGTGGAGCACCAGACTGTGGGACTTGATCCTTTGTTGCAGAGGCCTGAAGGGCGCTGACAGAGCCTTTGGGGCCATCACTGCACTGCTGATGGCAGGGTGTGAGGGGGCGGCAGGGCCAAGCCCTGCCAGTGGGGCTGTGAGAGCTGCCTGAGCTTCAGGCCTGTCCTTGTCTCAGTGTGCACGAGCCAAGTTCTGCCCCATCCTCTGCCTTTGCAAGAGAAGAAGTGTCCGGTAGCATGAGGCTGTTTCCAGACTGTGTTTTTCTCCCCAGCTACAGGAACTTTTAGGGGACTTATAGTGCTCAGGACAGGCTTCTCTGTCCCATGCCAAACTGCAGCTCTGCGGCTGATCCTCTCCAAGGCCGTGCCACTACTAGCAGCCCTCTGTAGCTCCCTTCATCCCACTTAGCCCAGATTTCCCTTAAGTGTGTCACTCATTAATTGAGGGCAAGTACAAAGTTGCTCTGTTCCTCCTCATCCTTCCAGGCTGGACAGACCCCTGGAGGAGCTGCGAGGCTGGGTGACGAAATTCATCCCTGCTACTGCTCCAGCTCCAGTGCCCTGCTTAATGCTGTGTGAAGCTGAGGAGGGCTGGGCAGGGTCGGGCTGGCTCCTGGGGCCTGTCAAAGGCTGGCTCTTGCTTGGCTGGGAGGAGGCAGCAACCAGCCAGAGTCTGATCTGGGGCAGCTGTGCATGAGGGAGGGAAGGGTGCCTGCCTGCAGAGGGTGGACTGCAGTGGGGATAACGTGTTCGGGGTGGAAATGTGGCCCTGTCTGTAAGGGGATGTCTGAGCACGGCAAACGGGCCTGTGTCCCACCGGTGCCTGGTGTTTTCTCCTGTCACCACACACACAGGGGCGGCCATGGGGTGCCCAGATGCAGCTGAGCCAGGTGGGGAGCTCACCTTGTTCCCTCTCCCTTGCCTGGGCCTGTGTTGCTTAGCCCCTCACCACTGGAGCCATGGAGATGTCTGGGCTGGCTCCAAAGTCCAGCTGGGAGTGTAGGGAGGCTGGGGCCGGCCACCCTCCTGCTGCCATCGGCCTCACTGGGGCTGGTGCAGGGTGGTCTGAGCAGCCCCGTGCTGCCAGGAGCTTGTTCTTGTCTGGGGTCTATCCTGGGTGGGGTTAATGCTATGCTGGGACTCGGTGCCCCAGCTCAGCGCTCCAATAAAGCCCAGGTCAAGGTGTGCCTTGAGCCAATGCTGGTGCTCAGCAGCCCCCAAGGTGCTGGGAGCTGGGGAGGGGGGCAGGGAGCTGTTGGAGCCCCGCAGGGCAGCACCGTGGCCCTACACGGGAGGATCAAAGCTGGCCTCTGGCCCCAGCCCCCGGGGAACTCAGAGAGGAGGGATCAGAGGTGGGAACCCACTGTGGAGCCACCACCACTCCTGCCCTCCTGGGTGCTTGTTGATTTCCCAGGCTGCTGCCAGCCCCAGCTTCCTGGGCTGGGAGTGGAGCAGGGCCGGCTGGCCCAGCACAGCAGGTTTGGAGCTGCTGGGCCTGTTCACAGGGGTGGGGACGGCTGCGAGTTGCTGACGGAGGGGCTTTCGGGCATTGCGTCGGGCTGAGCGTGCACGGCCGTGCCTCCCACCGCAGGGCAGGGCTGGGCACGGCCTCTGCATGCTACCAGGGCTGGGGGGTGCAGGCTTCCAACAAAACCCCGTCTAGCATGTAGTAAGGGACAGGAACGGGGTTTGGTGCTGCATCCTGCATGAAGCCAGCATGGTGTTCCCCAGCCAGCCGGGGAGAGATCACCACTCCATCGGTGCTGTGCCTCAGCACCCCTCCCCTGCTGACCCAGCACTCTCTCACGCGGCGCGGCGGCTGCTCAGGCACCAGGCAGGCTAGGAAAGCGTGGCTGAGTCAGCGGGGCCAGGCAGGCGGCTGCGAGCCTGGGCTGGGAGCGGGCTGAGCCCTGGGGTGGGGCCCTGCATCCCACAGCGTGTCTGTACCCCCTCCGTGCCTCCTGTGCCTGTCGCCCTCCTACACCTGCTCCCCTCCAGCTTCCCAAGTGTCAGGAGGGCTCCTGGGGGTGCAGCCAGGCTCAGCTGCTCATCCTGCTTCTGTGGGCTCATGTGGGATCCTACACACCCCTGCCTGCCCCCAGCTGCACTGATCTCTGCAAATCTGCTGTGTGAAAAGCCCTCATCCTGTGAGACCTTCCTGGCTCAGGGCTCCTCGACAGGATGTGAGCTGCAGTGCCAGTGTCACCAGGGCCATGCTGCCCAGTGTGGGGACAACCAAGGGTGCCTGCACACAAGGCTAGCACCCGGCCAGGGTCGCACCATTGGAGCTGGGGAAAGGCAGCGCCCACTGCTCCCCCCCTTGAGATCCCCTCGGCACTTGACAGCAGATGAAAGTGCAATGGGTGCTGCCCCGGGGCCCTGCAGGGTGGGTGCCATCGGCCTCCCCGCATAGGGGCCAGCGCAGGACAGGGGATTAGGTTTAAGCCGATTGCTGATGCCTGTTGGGGAAGCACTGGGATGCTTCTCTGTGGCCCCACTGGTGAGTGCTGGGGCAGTAGGGGGACGGCCAGGCTGCTGACGTGACGGCCTTGGCATCAACCAAGGTCCCTGCACCACCTGAGTGCCTCGGGTGGGATGGGGTGGGCAGCAAGGCTGTGACCCCAGCCTGGGTATATAGGGCCAGGGGCTGGGGTTTGGCTTCCAGCTTGCTGCCTCTTGCTCTAGAGAGGCAGCCAAAGACCCCCCTAATATTTTTTGGGGGGTTGGTTTGTAGCACAGCATGTATGGCTCCAAAGGAGCCATGAGAGGAGGCAGGAAAGCACAACTGGGGTCTCCCTGCAGGCATGGGAGGATTTACAGCTGCTGAGCTGTTGCAAAGACAATGACTTTGTAGGAATCTTGGAGGGGGCAGAGAAAGCTGCCCAAAAACGGGAGTGTGGCAGCTCAGCCTTGCCTCCCCGGAGCTGCTGGGATGTCCCTGGGAACCCTGCTAGGTCCTGGAGACGGGTTGGTCTTGCAAGGAGAGAGGGAGAATAAAGGGAGACTGCCTGTGAGCCCCAGGGCAGCAGCCCTGCGCCCTGCCCAGCCCTTCTGCTGCATCCTGCTCCTGCTGCTCCCGGCTCCCCATGACTCAGTGCCGATGCTGCCTTGCCAGTGGGGAGATTGAGGCACAGAGGGTGCAATGCCTGTGACTAACTTCAGATAGGGGCAGCTGTGGCTTCCCCCATGGTCATTATCAGGAAGCACAGCTTGTGCCGGGGACCTACCGCAGCCCTGGAAAGCCCTCTGTTGGGTGGGGAGGTGGGGCTGAGCCCCCCAAAGCTTGATGAGATGCTGCATTGCTGGAGCCGGGTGGATTGTGCAGTGGGAGCCCCGCAAAACCCCCCCTGCCATTCCCACCAAGACTTGTCACCTTCACCTTCCTGTTGTTACAGCGTTGGGACCCCCATGGTGGTTGTGCTCCTCCCAGAGCCCTGGCCCAGTGTGTGCCAGCACAAGGCGGTGTGTTCCCATCCAGGTGTTTGGTGTTTGAGCACAGTCTTTGCCATGGCGGGGTGGAGTGGGGAGAGGTGGAAATTCTCATTTCCGTGGCATGGCAGCTGGGAGAAAATCCCAGGGGGAGCCCTATACTGCTTCCACAGGGGCTGGCAGGAAAGGATAAATCCAAAGCACATCCCAAAATGTCCCTGCACTGCCACGGGACCCTGGAATGCTCTTTAAGTGCAGCAGGAGAGTTGTGCCTCAGTTTCCCTATCTGGGAAATGGGTCAGTGCCCTGGGCTGTGTGTGCAGGGCCGCCAGCAGCCCCTGCACAGGGTGCGGGAGCCCAAGGTGGCACTGCAGGGAGATGTCCTGGGCGCGGGGCCTGCACCCTCCGCCCCGGCCACAGGGCAGTAAGTCAGGTAGGCTTTGCCACAGCATGGGATGAAAGGCGGTCACAAAATGTGGGGAGACAAAACCCAGCCCTGATTTATTATTGAGGAGGAGATTGCTGCTCCTCCACAGCTGCTGGGGCAGCTGGTTTGCTGGCAGGCTGGGGGCAGGTTGGGGATTCTCAGTGAAACGGCTCTTTTTGGCCACGGATTGCCAATATTGTCCAAAGCAAATTTCTCTTGTGGGCAGGGTCAGCTTTGATACATGTTTCTGGCTGAAAAAACGGCGGAGAAAGAAAGGAGGAAACAGTCAAAACTCTCTGAGTTGGCATTTCCTGAACGAAGTGCCGTATTTTTTTAATTTGTGTGTGTGAGAGAGAGAAGTGGCTTTCCAGCCTGCAACTGCATGCCATTTAACCCCCCTCACCCAGCTGGGATCCAAACAAACTGCTTGGAAATGCTTGAAATGGAGCGCTTGGAGCCACCCCAAAACAAAAGTGCAGGGAAAGGGGGGGGGTGGAAGTGGGGAACGGGGAGGGGTGGGAACAGTTTGGGTTTCGATTTGGAATTTCCAGGAAGGTTTTTGTGATTTCCACTTTTCCTTCCCATGGGGGATGGGTTTCCCCAGCTGTGTCCTTCCTGGAGCAGAGCGAGGGTTTTGGGGTGCCCCCAGGAGAGGGGGTGCTACCACGGTGGGTGCAGGGGACACAGCAGGGACCAGGCTGCAGTGCTGGGGACGTGGTAGGGGACTGCATGGGATGGAGCCCTCAGGAAAAGGCCGAGCAGCGGGCAGGGGATGAGGGGGACATGGGGGTCACCCCGGTGACGGGTTTGGGTGCTGATGAACGTCCCGCTGCTGACGCAGGCATCTCAGGGCTGGCAGGGAGAGGGGGCCATGGGGAACCTGTGACCCCTGTGGGCATGGGAAAGGGGACTCCAGCTGCCTCTCTGGCGGCGTGGGGATGGTTCTGCTGCTGCGTGGGGTAAGGGCAGAAGGGGGGGCCCTGCAGGGCAGGCAGGGAGGGCAGCACAGCCCTGCCTGCTGTAGCCGAGGCAGCACTGCCACCTGCTGTCCCTGCCTGGCCAGGCTGCCTGCTGCTGCGTGCCGTATCTGTCCCCTTCCTCTGCCTCCATCCCACGCCTGCAGGATGCATCTTTCCCTTCGCGAGAGTGCGACACCAGAGCGCGGTGTGCCCTGCGCTGCTGCCAGTCCCGAAGAAACGGCCTGGAGAGTCACTTGAAGCTGAGACCTTTATTGGTGCAAGGATGGCGAGGTGACGTGCATGTGGGCCTGCTGAGACCCACCCCTCCAGGAGGGCACCAAAGGGCAGAAGCAGGGTGAAAGGCCACCACCAGTGTTCTCTTGCAGGGGGCTGTGACCCAAGGGGACATCCATCATCCCCCAGCCTTTGGGGACTGGGATTTCCTGGGCTGGACAGTGTGCCACCCCACATCTGTGGGGTTCCCACCCCCGCTCCCAGCCCCCAGGCATGACCCCATACCTTGTCCCTGGCTCCTCCAGATGCTGTGGCTTCCCTTCGGGCTCGGGCCGTCTCCTGATGCAGAGCCGTGGCCCCAAGAACAGTATTTCCAGGAATCCCCAACAGAGCGCCTAAGGGATTCCTGGGAAAACTGGACCCTGAGAGCACGGCGGCCGTGGCTCTCCCCCAGTCCCTGCCCTGCACATCCCCTCCTCTGGCAGCTGCCACATCCCTGTTGTCCCCCTGCAGCACCCCCAGCACGCATGGCCCCCACCCTTCTGTGCCACTCCCTTGCTGGTGGCCAGTGCCGGGCTGGGGGTCCTTATCAGACACAGGGGGGTCCTTCGGCCAAAGGAGAAACCTCCAGACCCCTCGATGCTTTTTGTGGGCTCCTCCTCTCCCTTTTCCCCTTGCAGAGTCATGGGGCTGTGGGATGAGCCCTTCCCCGTAGATGGGGCTCAGCATCCTTCTGGGGTCTCCTGGGGATACGCTGGCTGCCTGCAGGCACCCTCCCCTCTGCTCTCCCACCAGCCAGGAGACTGCAGGGCTGTATCCAAAGCATGTCTGGAAGAACTCCCCACTCCCTCAGTGGTGGGAACCTGGCTCCAGAGACCAGCAGGATGGAGGGGCAGAGCTCTACCATCAGTCCTGCTCCCATCCTATGCCCTGAGAAGCCCCCTGGAGCCCTGCCCCCCAGCCACGAGCTGTGCTCCTGTCCGGCTGCTCATCCATCTGCTTCCATCAGTCCTGGCGGCAGGCAGTGGTCCAGGGGTCCCAGGGCACAGTTCCTCCCTTCCCGAGCTACAGTGCTTCATCTCAGACTCCCAATTGACCAGAGATGCAGCACTGCACCTTGGGCTGGGAGACATGGAGGAGCCCACGGCCGCTCTCGCTGCCTCGCTGCACGTTGTGCCACAGCACAGCTGTGTGTCTGGCTGCTCTGCTGGACAGCCAGACTTCATGGCTGCAGGGACAGACAGGGGCTGGGGGCTTGGTGAGCTGGTAGGGCATGGCCGGGTAGGCTGTAGCATGGGCTGGGATAAACCTCTGTGCTGGGAGAAAGGCTAGAAACTGGTGTCTGTGCATCCCAAGGGTGCTTCTGAGGGATCCAGGACCTGGATCCAGCACTGGGGTGTCACTGCTGGCAGTCCCAAAGCACAGGGATGTGGCTGCTGGGATGGCTCCAGGATGCAGGACTGCTCCTCAGCAGGGCCAGGACACCCCCAGGACAGTGTGGGCATGGGGGGTCCAGCACAGTGCTTCCCTCCCTGCCCTACGCCCCTTCCCATGCCAGGATGCTGCTCCCAGGGCGAGTCCCCCCCCCAGCTCAGGCACCATGGGATGAGGAACGTGTGAAAGCCCCGTGGTCTTTCCCATCCCTGTCCCCATCAGCACCCGAGGGAAGGCTTCACCCCAGCTCCAGGAGCTCAGACACAGGCCAGGGGCCATACAAAGGACACCCCCTGAGCACCCCCTGCTCCCTCACTGTGGCCCCAAGGGAGAGGGTCTGGGGGGAGCAGGAGGAGGGGGAGGATGGAGGGAGTGGCCAAGCCCAGAAATGTCTTTAGCAGGCAAGTACTAACATCCTGAGTGGAGCCGAGCCGTGATAAACAGACCATCCATCACTGCAGTGTCCCGCTGCTGGGCCCCGGCAGCTGCGGCGCTCCCGGCAGCCTGACGAGAAGCAGATGGTGCAGCTCCGGTGCGGCCCCCGGCATCCGGCACCAGCCCCCCCGGCCCCTGGGAGGGCTGTGCCTGGCCAGGAACCGGGGCACAAAGAGCCCAGTGCCTGTGCCAGGGCCCCAACCTGCCGTCCCCGGGTTTCTTGGGAGGAGAGAAAGGGGAGAGCCCCACAGTGCCCCAGCCTTGGTGCCCATGTCACGGCGCGAGTCACCCAGGAGGGAGTTTTGGGAGCAGCCGCCGCTGGCACATGTTATCCCTGCTCCCAGCCCTGGCCAGGCAGGCCCTGAGCCCTGGCCAAGTGTAGGAACAGCCACAGGGGCCCAGTGCTGTGGGGCAGGGCTGCCTGCAGGCCTCCTCTTGCTGCCCCCCTGCCCTGCACCACGGCAGAGCCCAGCCTCAGCCCTGTCCCCAGCCTCCTGCACTCCTAGCACTGTGCATGCCCCAGGAGCACCTCCCCGTGAAGGGGCACGGTGACTTCTCACAAAGGAGCAATGCCTGGCTCAGCATTTCCCCATGCCCCAGGAGCCAGTCCTCCTGCTTGCTGGGTGGTGGGGACTGGAGCTGGGGCTAGTTTGCTCATGGGGGCTGCCGGCTTTGTGCTGGCTTTGCCTGGCTCTTGCTGTCCAGGGGTGTACAGTCCTCGTGCACCTCCAGCAGCTCCAGCGAGGAACGCGTCCCTGTGAAAGACAGAAGGTGGCAGTCAGCATGGCCATGAGTCCCCAGGGGCTGCAGGTGGGGCTGTGTGGGGCAGTGTGACCTGGGGCACCCCTCAGGCCCCTGGCACCCCCAAGGCAGGGTCTCGGTGGGGCTCCGGCACAGTGCTTCGACCAGGGGCTCGGGTCTGGTGTGAAGGAGCAGGGGGTCAGGCACCCAGAGACCTCTCCCTGCCGTGCATCCCCTGTGGGGCACAGTGCAGCCACAGGTCATGCCACGAGCCCTGCAGCAACCCCGGTGCTGCCCGCCAGGGGTGACCAGTGGTGCCTCCCCAGGCACTCCTCCTCTGGCTGCCCACCACCAGCCCTTTCTTGTGCTCCCTTCCCTGGGAGCTGGACACAACCACCCCCGCGGGGCACCACCAGAATGTCCCCAGGCAATGCCAGCAGCCCCATGCACCCATAAAACCTTGTAACAACCTCTGTGTTCAGAGCCTCCCTGCTCACACTGTGGTTTCCCCAGCCCAGCAGTGCTGGTGAGCCACCGGCCAAAAAGGCCACTGGCTGGGCAATGTGGACAGCTGGCGCCGAGGGACGGAGCCTCTGCTCAGCTCCAGCCCAGCATGCCCTGCTCCATAGGTCAAAGATTGCTCGAAGCCGCCCGTTCCACAAATTCTGGGGGTCCTTGGGGACAAGTCCCATTCTCCTGTGGGCAAGCTGGAACGTCCCCAGCCCCAAACAGCCATCGGAGATGCCTTGCTCCAGCCCTGCATGGGATTTAGGGACAGCCCTGTCCCTGCCTGCCACCACCACCCTGGCCAGCTTGGTGGGAAAGGCCAGGCTGGAGACTTCTCTTCACCCGCAGCGTGGGGCTGGGGACCTCAGCTGCCATCCCCGGGGAGGTGGCAGCAGGGAAAGCAGCACCGTGAAAGGCAGGAGGAATGCACTGGGCTGCGCATCCCATCAATGGGAAGCAGAATATCTGCCGGGCGCTCGCCTGGGGGAAGGAGGTGCCCTCATCCTCCCCACTCTGCCCTCATGGCGGCCTCATCATCCTCAGGAGGGGCAAAAAAGCAAAAGCCAAAAAAAGGGTGCCTGCCCTTTCCCCCTTGTATCTGCTCTCATTTTTGGCCCAGTTTCCCAGGGAAACGGGGCTCACACCCCTGTGCCATGCAGCTGCCGTCCTGTGTTCAGTCTCTCCAAACCAAACAGCCAAAGTAAAGCACTCAGCCCTGCCAGGCACATGTGTGCACAAGGTGGGGGCATCATCCCACCTCCAGCCTCACCACCGCCCCACGGCATCCCCTCGCAGCACCGTGCCCCCCATGTGGCTGTGGGGACAGCTGGAGCGCTCGGAGCCACCGAGCTCAGCCTCCCCGTAATGCCCAGACACGCTTACATGCTGCTCCCAGGACGAAGTTTACAGCCCTGCCCCCGCATAATGAGCACATGCCCATTAATTTCACCAGCCCCACTTTGCTCGTCCCCTTGCTCGCACGGCATGGATGTGCCGCGTGCCCACAGGACACACCAGGGCTGGACCCGCGGTGCCCCCGACGTGCCACCAGCCACCACCGCTTGCCCAGCCGGGCGCTCCTCAGAGGGTGCCCATGCGGGGCAGTGCTCACGACGACTCGGTGCCCACGGACCCGGCTGCTGCCATGCTCACCTCCAGCCTTTGCCTCTGTGCTGCTGCGTCCCCAGCCGAGTGAGCGCCAGCGGCCGCCCGTTCCCTCGGTGGCGGTCCTGGGCTGCGTCAGAGCCGGTCCCAGCGCCGGCCCTCCCCACGGTTACAACACAGTGCCCTTTCCCCTCTCCAGCACAGCCGCTCCTGCAGGAAATGTCCTTTTTTAATAACAGTTGGGATTTGTTTCCTCCTTGAAATTCCCCAGCCTCCTTTCTCCAGCAGCGAGGGCCCAAGCCCAAGTCTTGCCTCAGCCTGTGCTTGCTGCCGAGAGAATCCTGGCAGGACGGCGCTGCTGCGGGGGCTTTGTGCCCGTCCCATGCCTGGGGAGGACAGAAGGCACTGGGTGATGCTGGCACCTGTGCCATGCAGGTCTGAGCTCTGTCCCTGTCCCAGCCAAACCCACCCAGGGACCCAGCCATGATCTCCAGCCCCCCAAACCCCCAGGTGCCACCTCCAGCTGGCCAAGATACTGCTGGGTGGCACCGGCAAGTGCTGCCTGAAGCAGGGTCCGTGTTTGGTGCCCCCGGGAGAACAGAGGGGGGGCAGCTCTTGCTCACTCAGCTCTATGGGAATTGAAGCCAGATGTGGGGACACTGCTTTTTGGAGCTCTGCAAAACAAGCAGGCATCAGCCCCCATGAAGAGCCGTCACGCACAGCATCCAGTGGGGCCCTGCTGAGCACCGGCTCGCCCAGCATCTCCATCCTGGCCCCCACCAGCCCCAGTGGCCTCCTCCCTCATTCCCTGGCCAGCCTAGTATTAAATCAAAGGTTTATGAGAAAATGGAGGGGCCAAGGGAGATCCTAATCTGGTCCCAGGCTGATTAACCCTGGGTTCAGGCTGAGGTCCCGATGCTCAGCTATAAATAGCAGTGCCTTTCCTTTCCCATCCTCCCACCGGGGCTGCAAAATGCCTGCCCTTTTATGGACAAATCGGCAGATTTGGAGCCCGGGCAGCCCTCATCTCCCATGCTGGGGGCGAGCCAAGGGGGCCCAGGGGGATGCTGCTCTTTCTCTGCAGGTTTTGCTGGGATAAATTACAATGCTGAGAACAAAGGAGCAGGTCTGGGGGGCTTTTTTCCCGTGTCTTAGAGCTGGGGATGGGGGCAGAGGGGAAAGGATGTAACTGGTTTGTGCTCCTTCTCCCTGGGCATGCAGCTCCTCTCCCAGTGCCAGGCTGAGGCCAAAATAGCCTAATTTGGGGTCTCTGCATCCCTGTTGAGGCTCAGGGTGGTGGCCCAGTGAGGCTGTCAGAAAGGTGAGCCAGGAGCAGTGTCTGGTGAGTGTGTCACCTCCAGGCTGCAAAAGCGAGTGGCATCTCTTTGTGACAGCAGGCAGGGGACAGGCCCCTAATCCTGGCCTGGCAGCAGGAAATTCTCTTCTTGCCCCCACAGCAGCAGCACTGGGCACTGCTGGGTCCTGTGCTGGCTCCTGCAAACTGCTGGTGCTGGCTGCTGTGGCGAGGGACCAAAAGCCCTCCGGCCACACCAGAGCTGGGCTGGTAGGGCAGAAGGAGCCTCTGGTGGGACAGGAGCGGTGGGAGGAGGGATTGTGGTGGCGCACAGCTATGGAAGAGCCTGACCTCCCCACAGACCCCACTGCCTTTCCCACAGCCTCAGCTCTTCCTGCTGCCTCCAGCCCAGCCACCATCTCCCCCAGCCTTATCTTGCCTCCCTCTCAGCACTGCCTCCCCCTATTTCCCTGTGCCTGGGGGGGTCCCCCAGCCCCATCCCCCTCACTCCCACCTGGCTGAAGCCAGCAGGATGGTGTTTTTTGGGGTGCAAGCATTTTGGGGGCCGGAGCGAGCCCAGCGGGTGTCACCCCAGCAGCAGCTGGAGCGTGGGAGCGGGCCGGGGCTGGCCCTGCTGGGCTGTTTACACGGCACATTCCCGGCCCAGAGGAAGTGGTGCAGGGGTGAGGTCCCAGCGGGGAGAGGCTGTCACGTCACCGGCCTCCAGCCTCTGAGGGGACGGGAACCCAGAGCAAAGCTCCCCGCAGGGACAGCTCCCAGATGGCACAGGAGCGGGGCTGGGGCTCCAGCAGCTGTGTGGTTCCCCCGCTGCCCTGCAGCCCAGCCGGGCTCTGCTCCTCGCCCATCCCTACAGCCATCGGGAGGAGGTGATGGGGTGGCCGTGGGGATGCGCCTCTGCACCACGGTCCCGCAGGGTGCCGTGTGAGGCAAGCACGGCACGGCCGGCAGCGAGGCAGGGACCTCACAAGCCATGGTCCAATTCCCCCCTGGCAAAGGCATGATTGTGGTGTGGCTGGAGCTCATTAGGCTGCCATCACTTCTGGCTGCTTATCAAGGCTTTATCATCTTATCTCTGCTCCAGCAAGGGAGAGGGGGAGTGCGTGTGTGTGTGTGCAGCAGATCCTGCACAGCAGAGGAGCCCAGTTCATAAATCACCTCCCCAGTAGGCTCCATCTTGTCTTTCCCAGCCCTGCCAAGCTCAGTCAGTAAGAGGCATTAAACACTGAAAGAAAATGCCCCAGATAGGCTGGGTCCCCAGCAAGAAGGGGACGAGGCACAGGAGAAGATCCAGCACAGCATTTAGCTCACATCTGGTTCTCAGGGCACCATCTCCCTGCATGGCCAGGCTGTCCCTTGTGAACCTGCAGTCAGGGCTGTCTGGGAACACCTGTCCCCATACGTGGGGACATGCCATGGCCACAGCGGGAGGCAAATCCCTGCACAGGGCTCGGGTCCCTCCAGCAAGGCTCTGGGTGCTACGGTTGTGCTGCCCCTCGCAGAACTGGTGAAGTTGCAGCCATCACTATAGCAAAGGAGAAACATGAAGGAAATGCTGAGCCTGTCCTCAAAGGGACAAAAATGAGCCCACAGCCCCCAACAGAGAGCAGAGGAGCACACCATGGCACTCACGGCCCTGTGCACTGCAAGCTGTAGCTGGGAGAGCACTGGGGACAGCTGCCTGTCCCCGCGGGTGAGATCACCGAGCATTCAGCTCAGCGAGACAGCCATCAAATAAGGGTGACAGGGAGAGAAGAAAAGGAAGGGTAAGTCTGCGATGAAGCAGCCAGGTAAGAAGCCCAGGCTGGCAGAAGGACATTTCCCCCGTACCAGCAATCAGAGCTGATGCGTGGACATCAGCGGGTGACCTGCTGGCCAGCACACAGCATCAGCCCACACGAGGTACGGTGGGTCCCAGAGCCCCAGATGCATTCCCTCCCTGCAGTTTTGGGGCACAGACCTTGCTTCGCTGAGGTTTTCCAGTGCCTTGTAGCCACAGGGAAAGGGTCCTAACGGAGCCCTCACACCCTAGCCCAGCACCGCTGCAGCTGGGGCTGCACCCTCCTGAGGAGGCAGCTGCTGGGGGAGGCAGCATGCCGCTGCTCGGCAGTGGTGAGTCCTGTTGATGTCTAAGAGATGGGGCAGCTCACTGCCTCCCACATGCCTGGACCACCTTCGTGGCTGTACCCCTGCGTTGCTCAAGCACGCAAACCACGGGCACCTGACTGCGGGCACAGAGCTGGTTCCAGGGCTCTCCAGGCTTCCAGAAATATCAATCCTCATCCCCATGGCACTGTGACCATCTCCAGCTCCTCCACCAGCACAAAGCAGCTCCGTCCCTTGCCTAAACCTGGCAGCAGGAAGGTGCTCACCCTAAGCATCCTGAGCCCGTGAGGGCGCAGATGTGGCCTTGCACTGCTGCACCAGCCCCACGCACTGCCAGCTGCACAGCATGTGTGTGTGTATGGCTGGGATGTGGCTGCTGCTGCTGGAGAAGGGTCTCTGCCCCATCCCTGGGGGCAGCCCAGGGCTTCCACGCCACCTATGGGGTAGGGGTGTGGGATAGGAAGCCCTGGGCACCCCCGCAGTAGCCACGTCCCTAACACGGAGTCAGAACTCAGCTCTCCCTGTGGTCCCCATGGCTGTGCCACACCAGCCAGCACGTGCTGTCCCTTCCCCGAGCCAAAGGGCCAGAGGTGCCCGGGGAGCTGGGCCAGCACCGCACCTACACCTCCTGGCCACTGACCCCCTGCACGGCTGGGATGGGGCAGGAGGAGCAGCAGGAGGCCCTGCTCCCCAGCCAGACCCCGTGTCAGCAGGGACACCCCCGAGCAGGGCAGCAGCACATCTCCAACGCCTTGGAGAGAGCAGTGGTGGCACAGGGGTTGGGGCAGCACAGTGGATGTGCACAGCCCTTGGTAGGTGAAAGGGCTCGGAGCGAGGCAGCAGCAAACGCTGCCCCAGCGCCCACCAGCCTGCAGCCCCGGGAGGGGTGCTGGGGCTGCTTCCCGGCTGGGAGCCTCCCCCCCATGCAGGGTCTGCTCTGCTCTCTTCCTCTGTGTGCGTGTGTGCAGCCGGCCAAGGTCAAAGAATGGTGAAATGGCTCCAGAGCTCAGATTTCCAGCCTCTTGCCTCATCGCTTGCTATCTGATTGCGGCTCCCACAGACAAGCCTGTGCTACTTCTCCTGAAGTGGGTTGCGGCACTGGGCACTGCAAGTACCCCGGTGTACCCCCCCAGGACCCTAGCCCTGTGAGTGTTGTGGGGTTCCTAGCCCTCGGTAATGATTCCTGGGCTGGCAGGGCCCCTCTCATGCTGTGCCAGGAGGAAAAGAATGACATGGGTGGGCGTTGTGGGTTGATACAGCCCCAGCTCCTACAATGTGGTGCCCAAAGACACCCAGTTCCCCCTGCCCAGCCCCTGGAGCAGGGCAGCAGCAAGATGCTGAGCCCCTGGTGAGAGCAGGTTTTGCTAGGGTGAGGAGGAACAAGCCTTGGAAAATCCTGATCAGGAACAAGGCAGATTCTCTGTTAAAAAAGAGAGACCAAGAAGAGGAGAAAAAAAAAAAAAAAAAAAAAAAAAAGCCCTTAATCATCTCCAGACTGCTTCTTGACAAGCATGGAGGGAAATGCCACTCTTTCCAGGAGCCACTCAGAGCTGCAGCCTGTCTAGACACAGCCTTCCCCAAATTCCTGCTGATAACTGCTTGGGAAATCTTTGGCAGAGGCATGTGCATGTGTTTGTTGGAAATTAACTCCTCTCCCATCAGCCGGCAGCGGGGAGGTGATGGCATTGCCCCAAAGATGAAACACCAGAGCGACCCATCGGTGTGCTTCAAGGAGCACCTCGGTGCTTTTTGTCTGGAGTTTTGGCACAAGACAGGCAGAGGTGGGGTACGGCCTGGGGAGCATCAAGGAGGCTTTGCTCAGCTGGGGACCAAGCTGTGCCTGTCTGCTTGCTTCCCACAGGGACAGCAGGCTGGCCACTGCCTGCTGCGCACCCCCTGCCCTCACCACCACCCCCGTGGCCAGCCTGGTGGCTCTGCCACAGGCTCCCATGCTGCAACCACGCTTGGCAGCCACTGCTGCAGTGCCAGGGAGGTGAGGACGCAGCAACCATTCACCCAGATTGCAGAGGAGCAGGGGAAACTCTGCAGCTTGGGAAGGCGCCAGCGGTGCCGGCTGGGGGATGCATTAAGGCAGGCGAGGCAAGCCAGCAGCGCAGGCTGGGCTGGCGGCAGGGTCCTGCAGCTGCTAGTTGTGGGGTGCTCTTGGTCGGCGCTGGGTGGGGTGGTCTGAGCACTCCGCGAGCCTCTAGTGAGCCCTGTCTGTGCCTGCAGCCGCTCCTCCCAGCACCGGGCAGCGCAGCAGGGAGAGCGGCCCGGGGCCACTTTCCTCGCCGGAGCTGGCCCTACCTGGGCTCACCACTGACTTCCAGTTTTTTCCATCCCATATGTTCCCAGAGTGAAAAGCAGTTCCTTCTCCAGCTCAGCCTCCAGAAGGCCGGGAGAGCCCTTCGCCCCAACACGCACCCTTTCCCAGCACTGGCACGGGGCTGACTTTGGGCACCCCTTTGCTCAGGACCCTGCGACATCAGTGCAGCTCCGGCCACTCCTTACTACCTCTGAGCTAGTGAATTTCCCTGCTGGCTCCCCGTGGCCGTGTTCTGTTCACCTCCCTCCCCTTCTCAGGCACAGCTGTAGGTTTGCAGTCCTGTGTGTGCACACACGGGGTAGGGGCACCCTGCCCACAGCCCCGGAGACACCCCACCAGAGGGAATGAGGGTCCCAGGCTTTGAAGAGGGGATGCTGGAGGAGCCGTGCCCCTGCCTCCTGCCCACTGCCCCTGCCCACCCCAGCCCCATCCCGGAGCCCCCATGGGCACCTACCTGCCACCCCACACCTGCCAGCGCTGTGCCGCGGGGACGTGGCTGCGGCCACCTCCTTCTGCCGTCACATTATAACCCACCACTGGGATTCCCGTGCTGCCAGCTGGGGTTTTTTAAGCAGCTGGCATGGGAGCCCTCAGCGAAAACTCCTTCCATGAGGCTCGGAAGCTGGAAAACCTTTTTCTTTTTACCTTATATGAGCTGAAGAGGAGGCCAGGCTGCCGATGGCCACATCTGTCAGGAGCGCCGAGGGGACCCATTGGCTGGGGTGCCTCACGTGGCGCCGCTGCCTTGACCTGCGGCCGCTCAGCTGAGTGTTGGTTTTACCCCCTAAGGAAGGGCTGCTTGACAATTTTCATATTTCTTCTAAATTTGGAGATTTCAGACAATGCTGGGAGGCTTGGCTCAGGATGCCAGAGGCCCATGTGGAAGTCATTAAGTCTGAGAGGGAGAGCAAGAGAGAGGGGGAGAGCAGGAGCGAGGGAAGGAGGGGTGACGGGGTGTGGGGGGAGGAGATGTGAGCGCTCGCCTGCTGCCAGCTCCATGCCTGGGAACAGACGGGAACTCGCTTGGAGAAAGTTTTGGGGAAGAACGGGGTTCCCCCTGGTCCGCTGCCCATCCGACCCCTGCCTGTGGGGCACAGGGGGCCCGTCTGGCAGCGGGGCCAGGCACGGGGCGATGCTGGCGGCCGTCCCACCAGCGGGGCTGTGGGGGAAGGAAGCAGAGATGCTCCCTGGACCAGCTTGTGGTTCCCATTACTTTGAGAAGCTCCAGCTGGCCTGGGAAAATGGCACTGGGGTGGCTGTAGGGCTGCCATAGGCACAAGGGCAGCAGTGGCTGTGGAACCCCAAATCCCAGGGTGGGACCCGGGTGCCTGCGGTGCGTCTCCTTGGGGTTTAGCGCAGGTACTCCATCGCCGTGGGGCTGTGCTGGCCCCGTCCCGTCCCATCCTGTCCCGTCCCGAAGCACGAGCCCATGTATGGCAGCCGCCCCACACTGAGGACAGCTGTAACCAGCAGCCAGCTGGCGGCTAAGAGAGAAACGCGCCGCACCGATGCGCCCTCATCCTCCCGCGCTGGCTGTCAGTTCAGGGCACAGCCAGTGCGGGGGGCATGGCTGGGAAGGGGGGGCACCCCTGCTTTTGGTAATGATGTCCTGACTGGTCCCAAGTCCCCCCCAAGTGATGCTTCAGCTTGTGGGGCTGTGACAGGCTCCTCCTCAGCAGCAGAGTGTGGCTCTGGAGTGGGGAAGCAGGCGGTGTGAGGTCTGTTGCAGCCAGCAGCAACCAAGTGCTAGTCGAAGCCCAAGGCGGGAGGAATCAAGGGCCTCTCCTTCATGTTTTCCCAGCTGGAGACCCACCTGGGAGGAAGCAAAGAGCCAGGTTCTGAGGTCTTGGGCCTTGAGAGACCCCAGCAGCTCATGGGACAGCACTCAGCCACCAGCCGTGCCAGGGCATACATCTGCTGTGCGCACCTGGTGCGAACTGGAGGGGCCTGGGAAGGGCCCCGCAGGGCCCGGCCTGCAGGCTGTGTCTGGTGGGGAGGACTTCCACTGACACAGCCCCAGAGGGGCTGGGAAATCCCACTGCCATGGTGGGCAGGGGGAGAGCAGCCACAATCAGTCCTCCCGTCCCCATCACCTGTGATGTGGACACAGCACCGAGGCTGCTGAGCCATCACACCAGGCTTTGCCCAGAGACAGTATGCCAGCATTTGGTGTCCCCTGTCCCCTCCAGAAGGACAGAGCTTGGGGAAGTCACGGAGAAGCTGATGATGTGAGGAGTGAGGGTAGTATGCGCCAGGCGGGGTGAGGCGCAGAGCTGTGCCCACGGGTCTGGGGACAGCATCCGGGGAGTGAGCAAGGAACAGGGGAAGCAGAACTGATGCGGGGAGGTTACACCAGCAGTGGGGAAGGGTGGTCCAAGAGGTGGCTATAAGGCTGGTGCTGGGGAGGAGAAGCAGGGCCATGGGCCAGTGGTGATGGCAGGCCAGCTTCTGGCTCTGCTGAGCACCCACAGCACTGGGAGCAGCTCCGGAGCTCTCTGCCCCCTGGCCCCTCACCCCGCCGCACAGACGTGCAGCCCCTGCTCTTGGTGGCTGGCTGCAAGTGAAGCACAAATAAATGCTGCCATTAAACAAACCCTATAATTAGAAACCAGGTTTCCTAAATGAAGTGAAAAATGTAACGTTAGCCTCTGTTTGTTCTCTGGATGCTGCTCTCTTGTTCCATGACCCAGAAGGGTCGTGCCCTGTGGTTTCTAAGAAGCCTTAATAAGGTAATGTTTAGAAGGTTACTATCTTTACAACACTTGTCTTATTACAACTCCATAAGAAAAACATTTGGGGCAAAGCAGGATTCCTCGGTGCGGGTTTGTTTTCGTTACTCCTTCACTAAGATGCTGCCCAGCGAGCTCTCCCCGCAGCACATTCAGTTTCAGTATCTCCACCAAAGCAATTTTTTCCCACTCCCTGCCCCACTTGGCTGGGCATGAAGGGCTGGGTGGTCCCAGGCAGCCCCGTTCCCACCCCAGCCTCTGTGTGGCAAGGGGACAGACCCTTGGGTGGTCCCCAGAACGGCCCCACGGGGAGCAGCCCCGGGGCTCAGAGGTGTTGGGTACCCCGGGGGTGCCATGGGCAGTGGTGCAGAGCAGCCCCCCTGGGGGCGAGGCTGCGTGTGCTGGCTCTGACCCTCCCAAGAGACTGGGGAGTGCCAGCAGATGTCCCTCCCCAGCCAGCCCCACTAGTACCCAACCACGCTAATTTACAGCCTTTTAATCTGCTAGCTGACATTGCAGGGGGCTGCCAGTGTTTCGCAGCCCATATATCACTGAGGGCAGGAGCTGGCGGCCCTGCTGCCTGTGCTGTGCCAGCCACACGGGCAGCACTGCATGGCTCACGGGCAAGCCTGGGCTGGAGCAGCTCTGAAGGTGACCTTCAGGACCTTCCTGAGCTGCTCTGCAGATCTCAGCCCTCCACAAGTGGCTAAAACAGCAGCAACTGGGAGCACAGGATGGGCAAGACAAGAGGAATGTAAAGACCCCTTTCCAGGCTCGTGTGACAAGGCAATGCTTTGCAGCAGGATGGGGTACAGCTGCAGGCATTTGGGTGCCCATGACCCATAAGATCCCAGGAAGGGCTTTTCCATCCAATGGCTCCTTCAAGCCCTCCTGAGCCACACAGGCCCATGAGGAACATCTCTGCAGGGCTGGGGCTCTCCTGAGGTGCAGCTTCTGGCACAGCTCCCCAGGGAGCAGCAGGACACAGGCAGAGCAGGGTCTGGTGACAGATGCCCTTCAGGCTTGGCAGGCTGATGGTACCCACGCCCAGGCGGTGCTTCAGACATCCCTGAAGCCTCCCTGCCTGGAGAAGAGCCTTGGGGCTGCTCTGTCTACGGGGACCTGGGGCAGAGTCACTGAACAGACTTCTGCTGGGACAAGAGTTGGTGCCTGCCCTGCCCCTGCTGTCCTCCCCCTGAGCACCCCAGGGTGGCAGCGGAAGGAAGCAGGTTGTTTCTAGGAACGAGAGTGCACGCAGGCTTTTTCCATCAGGTGCTCTGTCTCCAAGAGCAGAAAGAAAAAGAAAACAAAAGACAGGAGAGGAGTGGGGCAGCAGGAACCTGTGCATCTGGATCTTGTAACAGGCAACGTGCTGTAAACGCCGGAGGGCTGATGGATGCGCTGGCGGGGCTGCGGCAGGATGTGCTGGACATGCTCCCTCCCACCAGCACAGCACTGCCGGCAGCCACCTCTCGATGTCTCTGGCCCCAGAACGTGCGGGTCGGGTGCTGTGGGTTGGGTGCTCATCCCCAAGGGACGAGCGTGCATGGCTCTGCCTCCCGACATCAAATCCTGGCTGTTCGCTGTGCATTATCTATGGGGTGCAATTTACAGATGGCCCCAAGCCCGAGGAGGCAGACAGGCTGTTGACATGGCTGGATTAGGGCTGTATAAATAATATTAGCCTTTGACACAGAGCCCAGGAGCAGTGAGGCCCCGGGCTGCCGACAGCTCGTCCCCTCGCACGGCTGCTGTGGTCGCCCCTCCTGCACATGTCCCCCGTGCTGGGGCGATGCCCTGTGCCACCCGCCTGCCCACTTGGCCCCCCTGTGGGAAAACCCCAGGGGACATCTGGGGACATCACTGCTGTCACCAGGCATGGGAGGGAATGAGTCCGGGTCCTGCTGATGGATGCCCGGGGTGGGGCACTGACCCCTCTCAATGCCAGCAGTGCATTCCTGGCCACCCTCTGTAGCCAGGACACGTCTCCGTATTTATGCAACTGGAGGAGTGGGCAGAATGAAGCACGTTTTGTTTTTCCCATTTTTGAGAAAGGGGAGTTTTAATTCCCACCAATGTTCTTTTTCCAGCGAGCTTAAAATAAGCCTTTCTGGCCCAGGCGAGATGGAGCTGCTGGTGTGCTGAGCAGTGTTTGTGCAAATATGGTTGTGAGCACCATGCCACGGGGCCAGCTGGCTGGGCAAATGCTACCTGCCCAGGGGTGTGGGGATGTGGAGGGCCCCATGCTGTCCCCACTTTGGTGTCCCCAACCCCAGCTCTCCTCCCACGTAGCGGCACAGGGCTGGGTCTGGCCAGGCCATCCTGCTCGCCTCTGATGAGTGGAAAATGTTGCTCATGCAGCTATGGGAGGTGGCGTGGCTCCATGAGGTGCAGCTGCAGATGGGCTCACACGCGGGTGCTGAGGCTGGTGCTGCCCCGCTTGGGGCTCACATATCTGGCCGAGGATCCCAGTTCAGCTTTTGTAGGGAGCAGCCTCACGGCTGGGGAAAGGCCGTGCCCCACGGAACTGCTCTGTGCTGAGGCTGCTGGGGGTTGTGGAAGCACGGCTCCCACCCCAGCAAGAACCCTCCTGCAGGCAAACAGCCAGCCTGCCCCCCCAGCCAATACCAGCAACCCCCTGCCACGTGCTCTGGCCCATGCTCCCCAGTGGGTGTGCTCCCCCCCTGCTGCCTGCATCACACAAGCAGGCACAAGCTCTGCCATTTTTGCCCCAAACCCGTCTAACACCCAGACTCTACCCAGGAGCCTGAAGCGATGACAGTGGATTTCGTGGTGGATCGCCTGGGAGTTGTGCATCCTGGTTTCTCTGAGGTTGGCAGACCTGAGCCACCCCATTTGGGTGCCAGCTGCTACTCTTCAGGCTCCGTCTTCCATCAAGGTTCCCGCAGCAGTGGGGAAGGTGGGGATGTGTTGGGGGAGCTAGCAGGGATGGGCACGTACACAAGCACCCAAAAGCACATCCCTGGCCCCCTGGGGGGGCTCCAGCCCTTCCTGGCTGCCTGCTCCCTCACCTTCCCACCACACTTTGGGGCTGATCCCCAAGCATCCAGCTTGGCAGGGCAGTGCCACAGCTGGAGCTGGGCGCGGGGGGCCCACCCTAAGACCAGGAGGCTGGGGCTGCCCCCCCTCACCCCCGATGCCATGCACCCCAGCCCCTTCCTTTGTGCAAGGCTGTTGGGGAAAAGCTGCCTCCCTCAGCTTATCAAATTTGGCCATGTCTGAAAAGCCCTGGTTTCCTTTTCACCAAAAAAGATCAAAACTGGGTAATTGGCTCCCAGCGCGGATGCCTCTGAGCCTCTCTCATGTGTAAACAGCATTTCCGAGCGCTGACACAACACAGGCGCTGCGGCACACGCGCAGCCCAGCACCCTCTGGGCGCCTGGCTCCGGAGCCTCAGGCCATGCCCGTCCTGTCCCGTCCCGTCCCGTCCTGTCCTGCAAAGGGACAAGGTGCACGCACCTCACAGCTTCGGGCCTTGGCAGCGAGGGTGGCCTTGCCCCCAGAGCCCTGCGGTGGCCAATGCCCTTGGAGCATTAATGCGGGCTGGGGCTGCCCTGCACACAGGGCAGTGGCACCACATCCCCTGCACCATCCCCAGGCTGCGGGGGGCTCAAGGGAGGGGAAATGCAGCAGCACGTGGGGGGGCAGTGAGGTTTACCCCATTTTCTGTGGTTCATTATTTCTGTCTAGAGGTCCAGGTCCTGCACTGGGAAAATGAGGAGGAAATTTCCGCGCACCCTACAACACACAAAGGCCTCGCAGCCTCGAGAGGGGGGCACATGCCCCGAGTGGGGGCATTCCTCCAGCGGCCCTCCCAGCTTTTGGGGCCGCAGATTTCGACTCCTACAAGGTCCCTCCAGAGCAGCAAGGGACAAGCTGCGCGCCGTGCGCCCGGGGTGAGCTCGAGGCACCTCCGCTCCCAGCCCTGCAGGCTCTGGGCAGGGCCCGGACGGAGGCTGCAGGGCGGCGGCGCGGTTGGGTGGAGGACAGCACCACCGTGCGGCACAGCATCCCCCGGCTGCAGGGACACGGTCAGGGGCTGCTCCGGGACCCCAAGCCGCGAGTGACCCCCGCTGCCCCCAGCCCCGTCCCTGGTCCAGGCCGTGGCTGCGCCCTCCCCCACCCCCCACCCCTGCCTCAGTTTCCCCCTCCCCAGCACTCCGCGCCCCAGTGCCTGGCCTCGGGAAACCGCAGGGGCATGGCACGGCCTGGGGTGGGGGCAGCACCCCCAGGGACGCCCCCGGGAGCACCCCCAGCCTGCAGCTCCGGGGCACAGCCCCAGGGCCAGCTGCCAGCACAGCCGCTGTGCCCACGCTGCTGGGGCTGGGAGCAGCAGCAGGGGACGGAAACATCGGGGTGCTGGGGCGCCATCACCTCGCTTGATGGGTCTGAGCTAGGGTGGCTCATGTCACCATGCCGTCACCCCCAGCAGAGCCCCAAACCCCTCCCCGGGCAGGTTTTGTCCAGTGAGTCCCTCAGGGCCATGGCTGGAGCCACTGGTGGAGCCAGCGCCCAGGGAGGAGGCAGTGGCCAAGTCCCAGACCACACTGGCCCCCGGCCCTGAGGCTCACTGGCACCTCAGGGATGCGCCAGACACACCTCTGGGAAAGCACAGCGGGGCTGAGGCTTTCCCTATTTAGCTCCTAGTGTGTCTGGGCCAGCCTCACTGCAGGCAGACATCCCTCTGCTGCGATGGAGTGGGCTCCAAACCTGGTAGGTGACCGTGCTGTGGTTCGGGGCTCGCTGCTCATTTGTCTTCTGTGATAGAATAAGTGACACGCTTGTTTGCGGATGGCTACCTGGGTTTGTTTGCTTTGGAGATGCACATGTTGGCCTGCAGGGCCAATCACTCCCATGCCTCGTGCAACAAGGACAAAGCAGCCTTGAAGAGCAAATTCAGGATGGTCCGAGGGGACAGCATGGCACAGGAGGGAGAGAACAGCCCAGGTCTGAGATTTTTCTGCCCCGGGCCCCGGCATGGGACGAGTGTCACGGCAGCTGCCCAGGAGAAGGACCTGCGGGCAGGGTGTGGGGCTGCCTCGGCCAGCTGCAGGAAGGCGAATAGCAAGAGCAGGACTACAGAAAGCAACTTTGTTTGCTACGGGGCAGCCTGCCAGCTGTCAGCACACAGGAGCTTGGCCCCACAAGGCCGGAGGGAGAAGGAAAGGAAAAAGCATCTTTCTTTCTCTCTCTGTCCTTGGAGCACAGAGGGAGGGAGAGGAGGGCTTGGATAAAGATCCCATTCTTGCCTGTCTCATCTCTAAAGCGCCTTTTAAACCAGAGGAGCCTGAGGTACACCCCAAGCTGGATGCGCATACGTCCCTCCCAGCATGCAGCCCCCCGGGGGCACAGCTCAGGGCAGCACGGGGGCACTCTGGGTGATGCAAATTGCCAGCATGTCCCTGGGCAAGGGGCTGTGCAGCCACAAGCACCACCTGGGGCTTGGGCTACAGGTGCACCACAACAATGTGCTCACCACCCCACAGTGCACGTGCCACCCCAAAATGGATGCAGCCCTGCCATCGCCTGGTGTGACCCCTTGTGCAGGCCTGGGCAGTCACGCACCACCCTCCTTCCTCCTCAGCTTCTCCTCTGCATCTTCACCTTTGCCATGGTCCTGGTGCCAGAAGCCAAAGACCAAAGCAAGTCAGCCAAGGGGAGGAGAAGGGGCCCGGCACAGCCCCCCACAGCTGCCCCCGCCCTGGCCTGGAGCCTGGATGACACCTACACCCCCATGGAGGACTACGAGCGCAGCATCCAGGACATGGTGCGCCAGCTGAGGAACAGCTCTGAGCCAAGCGACACCAAGTGCCAGGTCAACCTGCAGCTCTGGAGGTCTAACCAAAGGAGCCTGTCCCCCTGGGCCTACAGGTGAGTGTGGGGCACAGTCCTAAGGGCCAGGGGCTCTGGTCAGGGCCACATGTGCTGGCTGCACGCTGGCGGGCATGGCAGTGACTGTGGCTCCAGCAGCATAGAGCCAGCCCACAGGAAGCTCCCCGTATCACCCTGCGGTGGCATTGCCCTGCCTGTCCCCATCTCACCTGCCAGGTTCACCATCTCCCTTGCCTCCTCTTGATTCTCTTCTCCAGCATAAACCATGACGCAACACGGATCCCAGCAGACATCCCCGAGGCCCGGTGCCTCTGCACCGGCTGCATCAACCCCTTTACGATGCAGGAGGACCGCACCATGGCCAGCATCCCCATCTACAGCCGGCTGCCCGTCCGCCGGCTGCTCTGCCAGGGGCCGGGCAAGGTGGGGCGCAAGCCCTCTGGGAGGAAGAAGTGTCACAAGAAGTACCAGACTGTCATGGAGACCATTGCTGTGGGCTGCACCTGCATCTTCTGAGCCTGCAGAGCTAACCCTAACAGCCCCTCACAGGCATCTAACCAGCTTGCTCTTGCTTCCCAAGCATCGCCAGGGCAAGGAGTGTGTCTGCACAAGGAGGCTGCAGCTGCATAGCTCCAAGGGCTCCCTGAAATCCCCTTGTGGGCTCTGTCAGCCTCAAGCCCAAGCAGCCACTCTGGGGACACCCAGCGCTGGGGCAGCCCCTGCAAGCAACCCAGCCATGCAGCCCTGCCTGCAGCCTCACAGTGAGCCCTCTAACCTCCAGGGAAGGGCCAAAGAGGAGGGTCCTTGCCCACCACCCCCAGCCCTGGGCTGCAGAGTGGGTGTTCACCCCATGCACAAACTGGGGGCTTGTCTGGGGAGGTTGGGGCAGCTTTTGAGATCCTCAATAAAGCGCATCGCTTGAGCCACTCTGTGCGCTGCTGGTAGGAGGGCAGGGCTCTGCTTCTGGCCAAGCCTGTCACCCCTGCTGCTCACCCCACAGCCTTGGCCTCTGAAGCCCCCTGAGATCCCTCCCACAGCAGCAAGAGCCATGATCCTTTCTGACGAAAAACCCACAGGTTCCTTCCAGTACAGAGCAGGGAGGGGAATGGGGAAACCTCAGGCGTGTGGCACAGACAGGCAGCAGCACAGGGCAGGGGCCATATTCCTGAAGGCAAAGCTTGTTCAAGTCATATGGGACACAGACCGTCCCTCACCCCCTGCCCCAAACCCCGTGCTGTTCCTAAGGCAATAAATACTCCCCTGGCTACCGCACCACCACCCCCGTGCATCACAGCTCAGTCTTCACCTTGTGCATCAAGTCCTTCTGGTCGATTTTCTCCAGGTCCTGATACCAGCGGTTGTAAGCCAGGAGGGCCACATTTTTGGCCGCCACAGCTATCATCTCCATGGAGCTGGCCACCCACTCCACACCGCTGAGGTAGAAGAGGTTGTCGTGGAGCACGATGGGCGGGAGGGACTTGGTGGAGTCATAGCGGGGGTACGACTGCCACTCCGTCACCTGCACCGAGTAGTAGGACCTGAAGAGGGTCTTCAGCTGCTGCTTGTCCAGTGGCTGCTGGGACAGGACTCGCCACACCGCAGCCTCCTGGGGCTGCTTGCGACGGAAAGCCACCGAGATGTTGACAGGACAGATGTTGTCCATGGCATTGAAGAATAGGTCAGGGGTGTCAGTGGTGAGGATGCTGGCGAAGGGGAAGAGCTTGGGGTCTGGGAAGCCGAAGTAGGAAGAGTTGAGGTAGCCGTGCACCACAGAGGTGACGGAGGGCTGGAAGGCTCTAGGGAAGTTGGCGATGGGTGGCTCGAAGTTCTCAAAGGTGAAGTTGCTCCTGCTGGTGTGCAGGGGAGTTGTCACCACCACCATGTCGTAGAAAGACGAGCCCTGGCCTTTGCTGCCCTCGTAGTGCACCTGGTACAGGGCTCTCCCTTCTGAAAAGACAGTTAGTGTAGCCCTGTGCCCCAAGCTGTGTTGCACTGGACCTTCTTTTCTCCCTGTGGGAGAAAACTTCTAGAGAAACTCAGCCTAGTCAGGTAAGGAGGAGCGGGGCAGGGCCACCCACCCCACAAACCAGAGCTATCCAGCCCTCCTGCTGAGCTGGAGCAGGGGGCAAGCCTGCAACATGGATGGTGTCCGTGTGAATCTCCGAGCCCAAAGAAAAGCCCTAAGGGGCCCCAGAACTGAGGTCTGTAGCACAGGGCCCTGCCTCCCAGATGGATCAGACTGACAGATGGCATCCCTCAGTGCCCTGGGATCCCCATACTACCCACGAAGCACCTCCCACCCTGCTGGGCACAGACCCACACCCAAAGGCCAGCAGCACCCATGGATGCATGGGGCCGGAGCAGCCTCCCCTGGCCATACGCACCCGAGCTGTGCAGAGAGATGCCCGTCACCCTGGCAGGTATGACATTGGCTTTGGTCAGCTTCAACAGACCCGAGCACACCAGTTTGTTGCCTCCTTCCACTGCCCACATGCTGCCCTGGGCCCCTGCCAGCGACATGGCTCCTGGGGGGAGGAAGAGGAGGGTGCCTCAGAACTCTGCCCGGGGAGGGGACCACGGGAGGAACCCTCAGACAGGGGGGTAAGGGACTGCACCTGCAAAGGCGGGCACCAGCACTGACTGGCCATAGCTGGAGCGCAGGACGGCCGCGATGACATCGTCCACAAAGCGCTGCGTGACGCCCACCTCCAGCAGGGACTCGGCCACCGAGCGCTGTGTCATGTTGATGAAGGCGTCACCCCCCAGCGAGCGCAGCAGCTCCTCCAGGCTGGAGAAGGCGTAGCCATGCGCCTGGTACTTGTAGATCCTGGAGGGGACAGCACCACAGGGCGCCTGGTCGGGTTCTGGTGCTGGGAAGGCCCTGGCACCGCCTGAGCCCCCTGGCTCTCCTACCTCATGAACTTCTCCATCACCTCCTCCACCCACATCTGCAGGCGCAGGAAGCTGATGCCGTAGTGCCACCAGAGCCGGAAGAGGTTGAGGAGGTACCAGTCGGTCTCCTCCAGGACAAAGTGCTCCCCGCTGAATATGGCGCTCTTCCCTGGCACCTCGCGCCGCTGCTTGAGGCCTGCAGGGAGCAGAGGGGCCCCGGTGGGCGGCTGGGAAGGGGCAGAACCAGACGGGGATGCGGGCAGGACGGTGGGCAGCAGGGCGACGCTCCTGGCTGAGCATTGGGGCGTGCTGACCCTGGGGCCCCTCATCCAACCCCGTGTGTTTGGGCATCCCACAGAACCTCCCCAGTGCCACGGGACAAAGCACGAGGATCTTGTGAGCGCTAAACCCCACTGAGGGCAGCCAGGAGAGGGGTGCAGGGATGGCACTGGGGTCACGGTGTGCCCGAGGCGCTCCTGGCAGCATCGGCTCACCGAGGGTCTTGACGAAGTCCTGCATGTGGAGGCTGAGCGCGTGGATGGACGCGGTCCCGCTCTCGTACTGCTGCTTGTTGACGGTGACGGTGGCCAGCCGGCCGCCCACACCGGCCTGCTCGTACACATCCAGCTGCACCTGCGGCCCGAACTGCTGCTGCGAGAAGTAGGCGACGGCCGCGCCGCCCAGCCCGGCGCCCACCACGGCTGCGGGCCGAGGGTCAGCCGGGGCCAACACCCGTGCCCCGTCGTCCCCCCCCAGCCCCCGCCTCCCCCCCGCGCCCTCCCCGGCTCCCGGCGCTCGCCCCCCGGTTCCTACCGATGCTGCGCGGCGGGGCAGGGCCGGCGGAGGCGGCCGGGAGGGCCGGGAGGGCCGGCACCAGCAGCAGCAGCAGCAGCAGCGGCGGCGGCAGCGGGGCCATGGCGCGGGCGGCGGCGGCGGCGGGGCCCGGCGGCAGCGGGAGCGGCAGCGCCCGGCCCGGCCCGCCCCTCACGACAGGCTCGGCCCCCGCCGGAGGAGGCCAGGGGGCAGCGGGCAGATGGCGCCTGCGGAGCCCGGGCTGGGCCGGCCGCAGGGCGGAGAGCACCGAGGCGGCGCCTCCGGTAGCTGCGCGGGGAGAGGGGCCCGGGCTCGCCCCCCGGCTGGGCAGTGTGGCCGGGGGCTGGGGCTGCTCGCTTCCCTGTGGCCCCGGGGGAAGCGGTGGGCTGGCTGCAGACACAGGCGTAGCGTCAAAATCGGCCTTGTTTTGCGAAATTTGGCTCTCCACACCGTGACGCCAGGGCTCACGGACAACCATCACGCCGAGGATGCGCGGTGCCCCCATTCTGCACACGCAGCGGCTGCCGACCCACGGCCGGCCCAATGCTGAACCGACAGCTTAAAACCGAGTGACCCCTGAACCCACAGCGACAGGCCCCGGGGTGGGACCTTCCTGCACAGTGCCGGGCTTCCCAAGTGGCAGGAGCCCACCTTTACTGCCCTCAGGCCAAGCTGCTGTGGGAGCGTGTTTTCCCTATCCTGAGCTGGCACATGGGGGAGGACACGGTGCCAGCTCCTGGCCACGAGGCTGGGCTCTGCTGTGACTCGTACCTCAGCAGTGGCATTTCAAGCTTTTGCTTGTAGTTTCTGCCCTCAGCAAAACAAGGAGCCTGGCAGCAAGATGCTTGTGTCTTGGGGATCCTGTCTGGGAGCCTGCTGCTACCTGGAATACAAAGGCTAGCAAAATCTGAGCAAACCCGGGAAGTGCATGTAATTACAGCACCTAGAGCCTGCTGTAGCCAAGGGCTGGCTCTGTACCAAGACAAAATTAAATTTGGGAATCCATCCAATCCAGAGAGGCAGAAGCCAGAACACATGCAGAGGCTACCTCTCCCTGAGTCAGAAGCCCCTTTGGAAGTTAGGTGTAGGGGAGCAAACACAACCCCAAAATGCAGATGTGAACATGGGGGAGACACAGACCAAGCTCTGGCTGCTCCTCAGCTCCCCTAAAGTTTACAGCGAGCAGTACTGACCCACCAGCACAGGGCAACCACATTCTCAAAGTCGCTTAAAACACAGCACAGAAATGCATCTGCATGCTTCAGGTTTTAACAAGCCCTTACTTTAACTGCCCTGATTTCACTATGGCTGGCTCTGTGCAGTAAGCAAAACGCTCCTTCTCTTGCTCACACACTCTTTTTTTTTTTTTTTTTTTTTTTTTTTCAGATGGAGATGGTTGTGATTTGAAAACTCCCAACTCTCACTGTTGCTGCAGAGAAAACCAGATGAGCCAGCAATTACTAGCACAACAGCAGGTAGCAGTATTTCCTTGTCTTGGCTGGTTAGCACACACAGAGCAATGCAACCACAGCAGCTCCTGGGCAGAATGAGGAAGAGCCAGTACGGTGGGAAGTTGCCTGTACAATCACAAGGGGGTTTTGCTGGTAGATCCTCAGCACAAGGACTTAGGTCTTATCCCAGAAAGGCCATTTACAATGTTCTTTTACAAAGTGGCTTTTTCTTTTTTCTTCTTTTAAGTGATAAGTGCACAGGGGCATTCAGAGCTTCAGGAAAATGAGGCAAGCAAGGCTTGCTGACATGGCACAACACAAAGACTACAGCAATACGAGGAATGGAGGCCAGGCTATCTTTGCAGAGGATGCAGGAAGGGAGAAGAAATCTGCTGCAATCCCTGGAGAGAAAGCCTGCTCTCCTCAACGAATCCCTGAAATCCTAACCCACTTGTGGATACCATAAGCACTAAAACACACTATTATGCCACCTAAATTGCTGTACAGTGTGCTTGCTACCACATGTCACACACAAAAGGAGAAATAAGCAGCAAGATGAAGCTGTGAGGGAAGAGAATGACAAAAATAACACAAGATAACATGTATTTCAACTGTCAGGAGTTCTGCAGAATGAAACACCATAGGCTGGCAGACAGCTTTTCTCTACACAGTGGTCTGTGAATGAACTTAACCAGGAACAGAAAGGAAAGCAGTCACAAAGTACCAGAGAATGACAGAAGTTCATCAGTGCAGAAACCCCTGGCAACTCAACTGTGTGAGGAAAGATGCCCCCCCCCCCCCCCCCAACAAGTTTCTTGGAGTGCACCTAAAAGATTGTTCATAAAATGCCAAACAAATGCAGTGGACTGTAGCCCTTACTTTAGATAGCCACCTCAGGAATAGCTAGAAACCTTTCAATCTACAGTCCCACTCAATTAAAGCAGCAACCAGAATGAGCAGCAGTTTGGGGAAGGGGGGAAAAGGAAAAGAAGCAACCGCAATTCTTTTTTATTTATTATTATCATTAGCAAATGGACAGCATCTGGACATCTAAAGAAAATCAGCCCTTTCCAACATTAACTCAAATGTTGTTGTCAATTATTTGCACTGCTCCCGCACTTGAGTCTTCCTCTTTCATACAGCCAGAACCGTTGGGTAAACACAGCGCACAGAAACACAAAAACAGACAGTATATACAGGTCTCCCACCAACTAAACAGAATTAAATTTTTTGGAGATTAGCAACGCTTTGTTCATTTGACTTTGCAACTAATATCAAAACATCTTTTAAAATAAACACAATGACAATATTCACAATATAAAACTTAAATACATTTTTTTTTTTAATTTAAAGGACTTATAGCCATTGATTTATCACAGCTGTTCTCTTTCAACTGCTGATGAAGCACTGAGAACTTAAGGTTCACAAAGCAACATTCACATTCTGCACTGCTCCTGCTCAGAGCTAAGACGCCGGCACGATATGGCGGGGTCACAGAACAAGGCCAGAGCCCCTGTGCAGCAGGGCTGCCCTCTTTCTGAGAGCAGAAATGCAGGTCCACACATCACCATTGCATGCAGGGGTTATCTAGTCCGCACTCCCAGTTCAGTTCATGGCTGGGTGAACGGAGTGGAAATGAGTCAAAGGTATGCAATACTTCCTCTCCTCCACTATTCTGTCCATTCTACAAGCTCAAGAGTCACCAAATGAAGTGAGAGAAGAAGCTCATGAATCAGACTCCTCTTTGGTGTCACTGCAAAGCATGATGGAACTGCACCAAGGGGAACTCTGTCCCACTGCACTCAGCGTATAAGCTTTACACAAACGGGGAAGACACGGGAGCTACAATCTGCGAAGAAATTCACTCAATCCTTAGGCAATCTCATCCACAGTAAGAGTGATCATTAAGTGTGCTTGAAAGGCAAGAGAATCAAATTTTGCTTAGGAAATCTAAATTTTGCGTTGGAATCAAGGTTTGGTTATTTCATTCTCATTTCACAATTGCAATTAAGCAGAAAACTAGGACAAACAACAGTAACAGTATCTATCTCTTTGGTAATTTCTCTAAGCAATAGGTACATCTTGCAATAACCATCATAAAAGCCTGATCAGACCTTATATAAGTTTCATAGATTTTAAAAATTGAGGCATGAACTGGGAAAAAAGCTTGCCCCAAATTAAACCGGGCCTGTGGGAGGCTCATAAATACTGTACGGGAACCCGATACCTCAGATCTCTGCTCCAGCCATACAACAGTGCCTCACTGAAAGCGGATCCCAGATACAGAAGCTGAATCAATAACCTCTTATTACAGATGGAAAGTGTCTGGAGTGCATTTTAGGGTATTTCTTTAAGGCAAAAAAGGGTGAATACTAGCTGAGGTCACAGGCAGGCCTGGTAAGTGGTCCAAAGGTGGGCCAAGCAGATGCAGCATACTTTCACAGTCAGGTTGCTCAGTGGGTCAGTATAAAGATGCTTTGTATCCCGTCACTTTTGGCCACATGCTACTTTTATGTCTGGCTCAGATAAGCTGCAGCCTTTCTATGACTGAAAACTACCTGTTATGTGAAATGCTTGTGGTTTTGTTCGGTTTCTTATAACTAACATTTCACATTACAAATTAGTTTCCATAACTAGCTCTCCCCTTGTATTTGCAGAAAGAATCAGCTGATATACCATGGACTGAAGAGGCAGAGAAGAAGCAATTGCTCCAACTGAAGCTACAGTTTCCACAGAACAGGCTGCAGGCAGTCACAGGCAGAACTGCAAGACTTGCATTGCCACAATACAGATTTCACCTGTTCTCTGCCTCGATTAATAGCATAACCTAGTTACCCAGTTGGTATGTACAGTCAGCAAAAACAACGAGCAGGTAGTCCTTTATATCTCTAAAATTTCCAAGTGTGATGAAACAAGAGTACTGAACTTGAGTGTTTTCCAAAGTGATCTAGTGCTGCCATGAAGCACTGTTTCAGGGTTAAGTCTCAAGTACCCCTCTGAAAACCTAACTACCAGCACAAAACTGCACTTGTATCCACTACTGAATCACCCTCATCCTGCTGTCACTAAAGCAGCTTGCATAAAGCATATTTAAAATGTGCATCTTCCTAAAAAATCTGCAGTGACAGCCAATTAGCTGCATGTGCTCTGCAGAGAGTCTCTTCACATGCAAGACTGCTGACAGCTGCTAATTGAAGGCTGCTGTTATCTTGAAGTCCATCACAAAAGGATTACACAACTGAAGCCTGCAAAGGAATGGAAGAAGAATAAGCTTTCTTCCAAACTTGTGACAGCATCCACCATAAATAAAGAGCTTTTGCAAGTGGGTCTCAAATAACTGTCAGGCCACAGATCCAATTCCAGAGAGCAAAAAGGCAGGAATTAATGAATCTGTAAGAAATAACCTGAAAACCACCATGCCTGCTTTGCTTTTTATGTAGTGCAAACCACAGCCTGGCTTATATAACTCTTCTGCCACTCTTCTGCTTACTGTTATAAAAAAATATAAAATAAATATAAATATAAAATAAACAGAAGTTTTAATATTTGCTATGACTACACAGAAGTAGAATCTGAATATGAACTGGAAGTTAGTGTTATCTGAGTACCATTATTGGAGAGCTCCAGAAAATAAAACAGTCCAGATTTCCTACTTAAGGGCACATCTCCACTTTGCCGAAAGCTGCAACAAAGAGCATACAGTTTATCATGCTTGAAAGATGCACAAATACCCATCAGGGAAGAGAGATTACTCTCCTATAAAATATACTTTTTGGTTGGATAGAGATTTGAGAAGAGTTTCTGGCTCTACCAAGAACCATCACTCCCTGTTTTACCTCAAGGAACAAGGTGTCAAGCTGAAATTTTACTTGGAGGACAAATACTAACACATTGAAGTCTGATACAACAACCAGATTCTATTTAAAGACACATCCCTATTGAACTGTAGCATGACAGAGATTTCATTAATCCAGGATTATTTTCCTGAAACCATGTAAGAAAAAAATGGCCCCAAGTATCAATTCAAGTGATCATCTTGATCCTCATCTAAGGGCTCTGGGGACAAGGGAAGACACCAGAACTAGACCGATAATAATACTCAGCCCTTTGAGCTTTTCCTCTTCTGAGTGCTTTGCAAAGAAAAAGCCTCACCACATCCCTGTGAGGTAGGTCAGTAAGTATTATTATGCTCCCTTATTACAGATACAGAAACCGAGGCAGAGGAGTTACTTGCCTGAAGGCCACTGCAGGCATCTGTCTCAGAGATGGAGCTGAGAGACAAAATACCCTAAATCTCAGAGAATTTCTCTTTCTCTCTCATATCCCCTTCCCTGTACATGTTTTAATGGAGAAATGAGCAACAGAGAAAGGAGCTATAGTACCACGTTCCTGACAAACAGTGGAACTCCTAGTACTAATCCATGTACTCCAAAAAGGATCATTAAATATACAAGTACCTTATAATTAATGACAAAATGACTGCACACATTATAAAGAAGCCAACGTACAATACAAACCTAGCTTAATAAATAAAGACATGCAGCTGCATTGTCACTGAGTGCTGAGAGGTCCTCAGCTCCATCAGGTCCCAGATGCCAAGGAGGCAAGGTGATGTCATTCCTGCGACTCCACCGCCACGCCAACGAGTGCATGTCTGATAGTGCGGCCATGGAGTTTGTAGCCATCCTGAGTCACCAGTGCTATCGTGCCCGGCTGCATTCCCTCAGCTGGTACGTGGCAGACGATTTCATGGTCATATGGATCATATTTGCCCCCAACGGGGTTCATCTTCTGAAGGCCATGTTTGGCAAATACACTTTGCAACTTGGCCTCTATGAGAGACAGGCCTTCATAGATTTTCTTTAGAGTTGTATTTGGATTACTAGGCTCTGCTTCTTCTGCAGCACTCTCAGCAGTTTTCTCCAAGATGTCTGCTACTTCCACGAGGTCCCTGCAGAAACTCTGGATTCCTACACGTATAACGAAGCAAGAAGTACATGAAGAACAACGACTACACAGAGCCACAGTGCCTACAACAGGCACGAAGTCACAGAAGTTTGAAAGCACCATTACAGCTGCTAATTGATTTCAACTCTTATTTCAATGAGAGTAGATGGTGCCTTCTGTATCCTGTAGCCAAAGCATTACATGGGTACTATCATGAAGACTCCCCAAATCAAGGTATATGCAGGAAAGGTACATCTATATAGATCAATGATTATTAGTATTATTAGTATTTCACTCCAAGAAGTTCTTGGGACTAAGCCTCGTCATTTAGAATGCTGTTCCATACCCTCCAAAACAGTCCCACAGTCCTAAATGTTTTGCCAAACAACTCACAGAAATGCCTATACACACAGGGAACAAACAAGATGGGGGGAAATTGATATAATACATGGCCATCCATACATATATCCACAATTTTATTCATATTCATATGTTAAAATTGCTGTGGAAGGACTGGATAAAATGGACCTCAAGTTGGTCATGAAAACTGCCATAGCGTCTTTCATTAGAAAAATGTGTTTAGATCATACACATTTCCAGAAACAGTATATTACACAGTGCAGAAATTTCAGGAAAACCGACCTCCTTCAGTTATAATGATGCCATAACTAATTTACTGGAAAGACATACCACGAAAACAGAAACGAGAAAGAGAAGCAATAGTTCGGTGCTGTCTACACTTGTACATACATGTTCAAACACACACAGAATGAAGTAGCATGAAGGAGAGGCAACAAAGGAGCAGACAGAAGCAGACCAATTACCAACTTGTCTCCTCTTGAACCAGGCTCTGCTTTAATGCTTTACAGCCCCCTGTGCCTCACTCCATGAGCAACTTCTAATAAAGGCACTCATTTTTCTTCAAACCTAAAGCAGGCTGCATACAAAAACTCAGAACTCAAAAAAAAAATTGTAAACCAATAGTGCTGATTAACCCAGAACTCAATAGCCATTTTGTAGCACCATGGGTAGAATGGTAATAAAACGACAGCAGCTCTAATTTCAAAGCTTTGCTACAAAAAACCTTCAGATATTCATGTGCTATAGAAAATAATGGCTTCTCATTCTCAGAAATGGTGCTGGCAGAGTGCAATGATTAAATGTTTTTTCCCCCTTCACTCGTCTCAGCTGGACATATAGAAAAATAGTGAGTAAGCTCAGACACCAACAATCCAGGCCAAACATCATGCGGCCTTTACAAGGGCAGGACTGAGAGGGGAGAGAAAAGCTGCTGAGCAGCGTTTTATGCTCAGGCAGGCAGGCATGCCGCTGCAGTAAACACAGCTCTTCCTCACTTTGCTTACCAAAGAGTTTGGCATCTTCCACAAACTTCTGTGTTCTCCTCCGGACATTCTCAGAATCTGCCAAAGCTTTCCGGTATCGTTCCTGTAACCATGATAGCAAGAGCAGACATCAAACGAGGAGTAAAACTGATTTCTTGTCAAGTTTGCAATCCCTTAGAAATCATTTAAAAATAACCAATTTCACACCAGAAGGTTTGCACTGGGCTCCAGCGTTTTCATTAGAACAGGCAAATCCAACCCCTCTCCGTCTGATTAATCAGCACAACTGCAACCCCCTCAAAAGACCCAGGTCAAGGCCAGAAGCTTTCAGGGCACAACTCAGTTGGACGCCGCATTGTCAGGCTGTTGCTTTTTGCATGACTCACTGCGCCTATTGAGACACTCCTTTCTCTACCAGGCAAGTCTTAGCAACAGATCCAGAAACAGCTGATTTATCACTTGTTGCAGCAGTACTTTCTGGGCAATTACACTCACAATTGCCCCATGCTTCAGTATTTATTCCTCTCCTTACTCACATTTGAAAATTCCCTATAAAATGATCCCTTCCATTTCCCTGCTAGATGCCAAAGATAACTTCCCTTCTCAGACAATCTGGGTCCAGCACATTACAACATATAATACGAGTCAGGACAAAGCTCCTGCATTCCCTCTTCACAGCACTGTGAAAGAGCTGACCACAGCCCATCTCTCACGTACAGTTTTCTCTGCCAGGATCATACTATCAGTGTCTTCCTCCCGGGAGCTACTGACAGCTGGTGTTTCTGGGAAAGGCAGACCGTACTCCTTCCACAGTGTACCCTAACGCCTAGAGCACTGCTGCTTTGAATGCTGCCAGAGCACAGCGATGACTTTTGGATGTTACAGTGCTTAGAGAAAAAGATAGGGCTGAAAGACAAAGTCGAGGGGACTGAATGAAAAACAGCGGTGCCACCAGCAGCACACTTACAGTTAAATCCCGGACTTGCTCTTCCAATCTGATGGCTTTGTGCTCTAAGGCACAATCAGAAAGGGGATGCTTTGGCTCATCATGGGGATCTTCTGGGCCACACTCATCTCCTGTACTTCTCTGCTGAGCTGCAGTGCTGAAAACACATGGGGACACCCTGAAGTACAAACTAGCGACAAAAAAAAAAAAAAAAGTTATGTTACAACATGGTCATAAAGAAAGATTCCTGTTTACTGTAATTTCTAAACGATCCTCTTAGAAAGGTACATAGGCAACTAGCACAGAAAACTCAGACAGACATTTTGAAAAAACTCTTTTATTTTAGGCTCATATCACTACAGAGGCTGTGCACCACTTCCCTGACATTAACTAAAAAGAGTCAGGTTTTTACAGGAAAACAAGCTGTTGGTTGCATTTTGCTAACTTCCCAGTACAGATATTCAACACTGAATGGTAAACTTCAGAAACTTTTTTTGCAAGGCAATCTTGAAAAGGAGCAGGTAGCAGAGAGCTGTTTTAAGAATCATTTTAAAACAAATGTTTTAAGCAAAATTCAGTAGATCTGTGAAGCTGCAGCATTTAAGTAGATACATGGGCAGAGCCTCGCCTGCTCCTCTAAGAATGTAAATTCATGCAGGTACATCAGGTGAAACTCATCCAGAAGGCTGACTCCATGTTGCAGATGAACTTGCAGATGAAATTATGAAACAACCGAAGAGTCAGATAATTGCATTGAGCTGTAACAACACTGCCTAGATGCCAAGAAGCTTATTCTATACTGTAACTATCTCACAGGTTTCCCAAAAATAAATAGTGGAAATGTGGCTAAAAACAGTTTCATCAAAAGATGATCAAAAACGGTAGGTTAGACACTTCATTAAATAGACAGTGTTTCACTCTGCTTTTCCACAGTGCCCTTCACTGCCACCAACACTGCAGTCGCTCCAGGAGCGAAGCGCAGTTTTCCCCCCACCTCCTCGATGCAGAGAAGCACCTCCTGCATTTACAGCTGACCTGGACAGCATTAGGGCAAAGCCTCAGCCCACCTCCCCCTCACAATTCACACAGGAACAGAGTCTGCAGAAGAAAGCTCAATTTGCTTCCAAGAGCAAACATTTGAGTATAGTCTTGACAAGGAAGAGCGAGCCTCTCCTTTCTCAGGAGGACCTCAGCTGAGCAGAGCTGGGCTTGCAACACCCCCTGCAACACAGCGCTTTTGTGTACACTACGTGCGGATCTAGCTGACAGTGGCAACTGAATGGGGAGGGTTCGTGCCTCTTAGCCCAGTACTGAACACTGCAGCTCCTGCAGAATGAAGCTTCAGGTAGTTAAACCTGCCAAAAACTACCCCTGCTAAAGTGTTTTGTGTCCAGCGTCCTCAAATAGGTTTGCTGAGAGATCTGTTGAGTACAAGTGCCAGCGCAGAAGAACAGACAACATGTGGAGCCTGGAGAGACGTGGGAAGGCCAACATGGGGAAATGAAGAGGCGTCCCTCGTTGGGTGGCAACGAGGGCTTAGCCTACCTTATCTGTCTGACCAAAGCACGCTTTAAGAGATATATCTGCCCAAAGACCACCAAGCATCTCCTACCACTCCCTGCTCAGTAGCCCAAATATTCCCTCATTTTATCTTTAACACAAGGTTGCTATACCGCCCACAGCACTAATGACAGACTCCTTTTTCCCACTTGAAGACGTTTGCATATACCACTTTTTATTAAGTGGATACTTGAAACGTGGTCTGTACGCCAAACTGTCCCTTTTCAAAGCCATTACATATCACATACAGACCTGAAAGTGCCTTTACTAAGTGTATTTACTCTGAAGCAGGATGCTCCTTTAAAGAGCCTTCTCAAAAAGCTCCCCAGCCCCTGCAGCTCTGGTCCCAGGAATGCCTTCAGAGGAGAAAGCCATTCTAGCCATGGCTGCAGAGATCTGTTTTGGGCACAACACTCCACCTTGAATGATGTTCGTCCCATTTGTTTTGGCGACTGGTTAACACGGTACTTTTACAAAATTATAGGAAGTAGTTAAGCCAGAAGTGAGGAAAGAGCTGTACCTCCTTTACCGTGCCTTCAAAAATCAATGAATGACCTTTAAGCAGCTGGAAAGCTTTACTTGTGGGGGAGAATGTGTGCCTGCGGTAAGCATCAACTACAAGCTTTGTCCTTTATCTTCTTGGATTTCATTTGAAGAGCTGCAGGAATGGAAATCATCCCTGCTTCAGATGAACCAAAGAAGCTAAAATGCAGCTGAGAAAGCAGCCTTGCCTGGCACCTCACAGGTTAGGTACCTGCAGCTTAAAACAAACAAACCAAACCAGAACTATACAAGAGAGGTAACTCTTCTGCATCCAAGAAGCAAAGCTTACTGTGTCATTTCCCTGTGCAAGTGATTCATGTTACAGAAAGGGGTGTGTTTCAGTGTGTAGGAGGAGAGGGGCATGAGCGAGCTGGTGTCTCCACCATGGGGACCTGCCTACGTGAAGCGGAGAGCTGCAAGCATGGACTCCTTTCTTCAGCTGGTGAAACCAAGCCACAAAACACTCCCCCATGCGCTGAAATGCCCCGGGTGCCACAGGCTGTTCAGACAAGCCTGCCTTAAAAGCTGGAGGCAAAAAAAGTGTCCCAGACTGGTTCCAAAGGGAATTCTTAAGAACTATTAGGCAGAATTGAAAATGTTGCTCCATTTACTTCTTCCTTGAGGATGAAATACACCTCTACCAAGGGCATGTGCTATTTACAGTCTGTCCACTGCACAGTGCTCTGCCTTCTAAGTACAGTCGTGATCACAGCTGCCCTAAAAATAGGCAGGAATCCCACGGGAGGAAGTTGACGCATCCTGAAGTGACAGACATGGGGAAGTTCCAAAGGGTGTGAAAAGATTGTACAACTGAGCTGCTGATTCAAAAAGATTTACAAACTGATGTCACAGAAGAGCAAACAGATAGATGGAGGAGAGAACTTGATTGTAGCCACATGGTTCAAACCAGCTGTCCTTAAAGATTAGCATTTTAATGATTTCTTTCTGGACCACATGCATGATACCCAAACACCCCAAACCCATGCTGTTTCCCCTTCCAACACAAGGATCCTATCGCACCTCTCCCTTAATCTCTCCTTCCTCCTCCTCCCAAATCTGCATGACAAAGCATGCCAGAACTGAGGTGCAGAGCTGTCTACATCAGTGCTTGGGAGAAAATCTAATTATCCTCACTCACTGTCTCATCTGGGAGCAGTGTAAGAGAAAACTTTGTGGATTCCTTTTTGATGAAACCTAACAGGAGAACAAGCTTCTGCAGCACACCTTAGCGCATGATGGCCACAAACTGGCAGCAGACACCCAGACTACAGCCAGTCCAGTGGAAGAAGTCCCCAGAATTTGGGCGCCTGGTCCCCACCACCACTTGCCTGCATCAAGCCACTCCCGCTGGCTGCAGTGTGGACGCAGCCACGGCGTGCCCCTGCACAAAGAGGAGCTTCATGCCCATGGCAGGTTCTGGCTGTTTTCCACCAACAAAGCCTGCCTGGCTTCCGCCAGCAGTCCCACCTGCTCCAGCCTTGCTGCGCACTGTGCGCAGGGCCCGGCAGTCCTCATGCGCATGGCAGCGGGAGGACTTCCAGACACACGTCTTCACGTTCAGTCCCAAACCCAGGTGCTTCTGTTATGTGCTCTAGAATCGTTTTATTACATTTACGTGGTTTCTTTCAGAGAAAAATCTTTAGAATAAACTATCTTACATTTTATCTTTTTTTTGTTTTCAGCTGCTTGCATTTCATTCAACTAACCAAAGCAACAGCTGTGGGTCTCACTGTCCTTTTAAAAGCCATATTCCACGGTGTCCAAAAACATGCCTGCGCACTCTGTCTAAATATTAACAAAATTGATTTGACTCTCTTCCCAAACCACACGGGTGCTGTCCCGTCCCCAGGACCCCGCGCACACCGAGGATGGAGCAGCTCAGCCCGGGAGTCTACAAGTCTGGGTGCTCTCGAGTGGCCCCCGGGGAGGCGGAGGGGCTGCAGCCCGCGGGGCCTCCCCCTGCGGGGCCGTTTCAGGCTCCAGGACGGGGCCGGCCCGGGGCGCGCTGCCCTCCTCCCCCTACCCGCAGCGGGACCCCTCCTGGACGCTCGGCGCTCCCCAGGCCCGGCCCCTGCTCCCCCGGGCCCCGCCGCCGCCACCGCCGCGTCCCGTCCCGTCTCGTCCCCGTGCCCCCCGCGCCCCGTACCTGCCGCGCCGGGCCGCGCCGAGCGCCAGCAGGGCCCCGAGGCGGCGCCGGGCGGCCGGCAGGCAGCGGGCGGCCATCCTCCGCCGGGCCCCGCCGCGCGGAGCAGGCCCCGCCGCCGCCTACAGCTCCCGGCAGCCCGCGGCCCGGTACCGCCCCGCGCCTCAGGGCGCGCTGTGAGGGGGGGCGGAGCGGCTCGGTGCGGGCCGGGCCGGGGGCTGCCGCCGGGGCCCTGCCACCAGCCCTCGCCGCAGCATGTCGCTGAGCACCGCGTCCGGCTTCAAACAGGCCCCGCCACCGCCACCGCCACCACCCACCCAGCCGCGTCCCCAAGCACCAGGCCCAGCCGTTCCTTGAGCACCCGCGGGACGGGGACTCCACCGCCTCGCTGGGCAGCCCGCCCCGGTGCCTGCCCGCTTTGTCTGAGCAGAAATGTCTCTTCATTTCCCACCTGAACCTCCCCCGGCACAACTCGAGGCCGTTCCCTCTAGTCTTACTAATATTTATCTGCCAGAAGGTGCCGACCCCAGCTTCCTTTCAGGCAGTTGCAGAGAGCAATAAGGTCTCCCCTGAGCCTCCTCTTCTCCAGACCGAGCACCCCCAGTTCCCTCAGCCGCTCCTCACAGTTCTTGTGCTCCAGGCCCTTCACCAGCTCTGTAGCCCTTCTCTGGACATAACTACAGGTCTTTGATGTCCTTCTGGTAGTGAGGGGCCCAAAGCTGAACACAGCGCTCGAGGTGCAGCGTCACCAGAGCCCCATGGGCAAGGACTGGGGTCTGTGGTCCAGCCAAGCAGGAAGGAACTTTTTGGGGGCCTCATAATGAATAAACTGGAAAATAATAATAAAAACTTGGTCAAGTGTGCTTTTTAACCCAGGTCTACTCCCAAATTGGCAAGCATGGTTTCAAAGTGGTGGTGAAGCTCTGCTTCTCCTGCTTGGTGGCCCAGGTTCTGTGCTTCTCTCAATGCTCAAGAGAGTTTGACTCATTTCCACTACAAGAGATGCATAGGTTCTCAGTGCTTAAGAGGTTTTTACCCATTTCCACGCTGAGCTTCCTCCTGCATTGGGAGCAGCGTGGCCATGGGGAGGAGGGGAACGGTGACAGGCAGCATGGCGATGCCATTGTAGAGCAGAGGACGAGCAGGGCCAGGACCAGTGCTTCCTCGTACTTCGTGTCCAGGCAGCCAAACACCAAGCTCACAGCTCTGAACCCGTGGTCACCAACAGAACCAGTGTACAGTGGATTTGGCCGGCTGCCCATGGCAGTTGTTGTGGATGCAGCATGCACGCACAGCCCCAGGCCACCCCAGACCATGCTGGCACCTTTCATTACAAGCAGGAGTAATGCAGCCAACTTGCTCCCCACAGCCAGGGGAAGAGGTGTACCAGTGCCAACATTTTTATTAAAAGCTGCTTATCTAGTTACTAAAAAGGGGGCCTTCAAAGAGAGAGTTGCAAAGGTTACTTGTGACAGTAGTGTGCACAAATGGGTCACAGGCCTGCTCCATTGTCTCTGGCACAAAAGCCTGGGCCTTTCCTTTTTATTCCTCTCTGCCTGTTTCTGTCTGTGCTAAATCACCTTCCACCATTTCTCGTGCTTGTTCCAGTCCCCTCGTCTGAAAGCACTTTTTATTATTTTTCAACTTCCCTTGGCTCCATTTTGATGACATGCTTTGGCAAACTGTCTGACAGCAGTAGCAATGCTGTGAATTAATTGTTGGCCCAGAGACAGCCCTGGCCCTTCTCCTAACCCTCCCCCCCCCCGAATGGCATGGGGTCAGGGCAGAGAGAGCTGGTTTGCCTCCAGCCTCAACCCCAGCACTTGCTTGCTGACTAGCAAGGTTAAAAAGGTGTCTGCTGTTAACTTGCTTTCAAATGCCGACATTTGAGCTTTGTTCATTCCCAAAGGAACATGCCCTCCCCCTTGCTGCCTGGAACATCAGGCAAGGGTACTCAGTAGGGGCACAGCAAGCTGGAGACACAAGGAACCCTGAGATGAGGCCCTGTAGAGCCGAGAGCAGTGAGAAAGGTGAATGGTGGGTGTCTCTGGAGGGTCAGGTCTTGAGCAGCTTGTGAACCCCAACACTGAGGCAGCCAAAATGCCCAGAGTCCATGGTCACTTTGGAAAGTGTGAGCCTGGCCTCCAGCATCCCCAGGGTGGAACACGCTAATCCTGCTAAATCAAAGCAGCTGGTGGCTGACCGCCAGTCCCCCATGCTCTCCATGTCACCACGGGCACACACCTCCTGTTGAGCTTCTGCCCCCACGTGTGGCTCCCCGAGATGTGGGTTTCCCAGTAGTATGTGACTCTGATCCACAAAGGACTCCCCTTTCCCCCCCCAGCCTCCCAAATCCCTTTCCCGCCCCCTTCCCCATGGTTTGTGGTGTTGCCCATGCGGCAGATGCTGCTGCAGCAGAGGGGCAAGGGAGGGTGCCTGTCCCCACGTGCCTTCCCATCGCCTGGGACAAAGGGGGCTCAGAGCTCCTTGATGAGCCCCAGTGTCTGGCAGGGGCCTGGCAGGCATTGCCACAGCCCAGCTTAAGTCTGCTTCTTTTCCCATTCCTGCAGAGAAAGGGAAAAAAAGAGAGTGGTGAGACATCAGAGGTGCAGGAGGGAGCACTGAGCCCTTTAAGGGCCTCCCTCCCTACTGGGGAGCTTTGGACCACCCCAGCATCTTCAAAGGCAAGGTCACTGCATCATGGAGGTGATGGTGTCCCCCCTGACCACGCAGCCACACACCTCCTGGGTTTCCCTGCAGGCTGGGCTTATGCCAGCAGCCAGTACCAACCAGGCTGGACCAGCCTGGCTGCAGGGGACCCTGGCAGCACCCCTTGCTTTTGGAGTAGGGAGCATCCACAATCCCCAAAGTTCATGGCCAAGTACAGGGACAGGATGAAAGGCTGAGATTTCCAGGGGAACAGGGGTGGAGAGGGGGAGTGAAGCAGGACCTTGGCTTTCCGCAGCACATTTCCCTTGTTGGCTGGGAGGATGGAGGCGCTTCTCTTCCGCAGTTCGGCTGCACAGTTGACAGGGACCAAGTGCTCAGGGGGGCTCCCATTTGGCTTGTTTGTAGCTTCCTGTGGAAAAGGGGGAGGAGAAGGAGGATTTAGGAGACCCAGGGAACAAGGAATGCCAGGAAAGCACAACCTGTCATGAAGTCAAAGCTGATGTGGCCAAGCCTAATCACAGAATCACAGAACTGTAGGGGTTGGAAGGGACCTTGAAAGATCATTGGGTCCAACCCCCCTGCCAAAGCAGGTTCCTCAGAGCAGGCTGCCCAGGTAGGCGTCCAGACAGGCCTTGAATGTCTCCAGAGAACAAGACTCCACAACCTCCCTGGGCAACCTGTTCCAGTGCTCCGTCACCCTCACCGTGAAGTTCTTTCGCATGTCAGTGCGGAACTTCCTGTGCTCTAACTTGCAGCCATTGCCCCCACAAACCACTGAGAAGAGGCTAGCTACATCCTTCTGTCCCCCACCCCTCAGATATTTATATACACTGAGGAGATCCCCTCTCAGTCTTCTCTTCTCCAAGCTGAACAGACCCAGGTCTCTCAGCCTTTCCTCATAGGGAAGATGCTCCAGGCCCTGTATCATCTTCGTGGCCCTCTGCTGGACTCTTTCCAGGAGATCCCTGTCTTTCTTGTGCAGGGGAGCCCAGAACTGGACACAGTACTCCAGGTAAGGCCTGACCAGGGCAGAGTAGAGGGGGAGGATCACCTCCCTTGACCTGCTGGCCACGCTCCTTTTAATGCACGCCAGGATCCCATTGGCCCTCTTGGCCACCAGGGCACACTGCTGGCTCATGGTCAACCTGTCGTCCACCAGGACCCCCAGGTCCTTCTCCTCAGAGCTCCTCTCCAGCGGGTCGTCCCCCAGCCTGTACTGATACTTCGGGTTGTTCCTTTCCAGGTGCAGGATGCTTTGCTTCCCACCTCTAACCACCAAAAGATCAGGGGTGTCCCTCATCCCCACATGCTGCTCCCAGCACTGCCCCAAGACCCTCTGCTGAATGAAGCCGGAGCTGTGGCAGTGAGGAAGAAGAGGTATGCACCCCGTTCTCCACCTTGCCGGTTACAGCCAGCCCCAGGGCCAGCCCTCCTGCCAGCGACTGCTTCAGCCGCTCCTTCACTTCGGTCAGCTGAAGCTCCAGGTCGACTCGGCGCTCCTCCTTCTGCCGGCACTGCTCCTCCAGCACTGCCACCCGCTGCTCCAGGTCCTGCAGCTTCGGCCCTGCTCACACAAATGTGCCCAACTCAGCACCTTTGCCTGGAGAGGCCCTGGGCTGAGGCTGTGGGGACTGAGAAGCCACCCATGCTCCTGGGTGGGACGCTAGATGGGGCTGCTGGCCCAGGAGCACGCTGCAGCCAGCTCTGCTCACAGCCACAAGTGCCACCGCCATGCTGCTAGCCTGCTGTCCCCATACCAGCCCTTCCCACCATACCCGAGTGCCTTAGAGCATTCCTGGTCACAGCACCCAGGTGGCACTGACCCACCTGTGCAGCTCTTCATGGTTTCCCGCAGCTCTCTCTTCTCTTTCCGCAGCAACACCAGCTCGCTGCGGATTGCTGCTTTCTCCTTCTCTAGCTTCTCCTTCTCCGTCAGAAACCGCCTGGCATCCTCCTCGGCCCGGTTCTTCCCGTACCTATACTGGTTGGCATCTGCATGTACAAAGGAGAGCCTGTCAGGACGACTCTGTCCCCAGGAGCATCCTGAGCCCAGGCCCAGCTGTGTGGACATCTGGTCCTTCTGGCCTAGTGCAGCTCAACCTGAGACCCCCTGTGGGAACAGCCCCCTCCCAGGGACCAGGGTCTCCCTACGGAGGTTTGCAGCCTGCTGCCCCGCTCCAAGGCCCCTTGCGTAGCCCCCCACTCACTCGAAGCGTGCCTCTTCACTTTGACCTGTGGGTCCACCCGTCGTGACTTCTCACTGCAGGAGGACGCGTGGCGCTTCACCTGGGCTCCTGACGGCCGCCCCAGTTCCTCCTGGATCTGCAGTGGGGATAGGAGAGCGTGCTGAAACTCCTGCAGGGCTGCCCCAACCCGCCAAGGCTCTTCAGGGCATCTCCTGTAGCCTGGCCATAGCAGTGGGACACACCGAGCCCCCGAGCCCTGCTCACCTGAACCTTCTCGTAGGGAACGTCGTCGTACACCACACGGGAGGAGTCCGGCCGGCTGTCTTGGGAGGAGCTGGCCCACCTGCAGGAGGAGGGACAGGTATTTGCCACTGGATTCCTTTCAAGGTTGTCCGTGGCAGACCCCCAAAGGGCTCTTCGATCTCATTGCTCTTCCTACATTGCTCTCCCAGCTCTGGGCAGGGACCCAGCTTTGCTTTTGAGCACCCACCCTGCGCTATGCGAGCACGCATATCCCTTAGGTCCTTCATTAGCGTTACTAAAACACTTCCAATCCTGCCCAAGGCAAGCTGCCCTGCCTAAGGATATACCAGCCCTCTCCCCTGGCACCTGCCACCTCTCCCCCATCCCCATCCCAGCATTACCCCCACTCCAGCACAGCCCCCACAGAGCAGAGCACAGCCTTACAGGTAGGAGTGCCTCACGGCTGTCATGATGTTGGCGATGGTCTCCACGTCCACGTAGTCGTAGTGCAAGGCCTCTGGCACTGTCTGGGAGCCTGTCTCCACCAAGAGGATACCCAGCCAGCGGCCCAGGTCTTCTGAGCAGCTTGCCTGCAGGAGAGAGAAAGGCCTGGGGACATGCCTTTGTGTCCCTGGGCTTCATTGATGTGCACAGGAGGGGAACCAAGGCACTGGTCGCATTCAGGCTTTAACCATTGCAGCAGGTGCTCCCCCAGCTGGGCAATCCCCAGTGCACGTCCCCACAGGAGGCAATGTGCCCAGCTCACCTCCAGCGTGGTCACCTCCTGCCCATTGCGAAGGATGCGGAAAGCAAAGGGGTGCTTGGGGCCCAGCCCCGGCACCACCTCGCAGCCCTGGAGGACGATGGCATTCACGTGGGTGTGTAGGTCACTGCGGTCCTTGTGGAAGTAGAGGGTGTTGGTCTTCAGGCGGCACCAGCGCTCCTTCCAGCACTGGTTGACCAAGACGCTGAGGTAGCCTGGGGAGCGCAGACCCAACAGAAGTGTCTAAGCACCCACAGCAGGACCTTGGGACCTCATGAGATGGGACTGCCCAGGTATTAGGGCATGTCTCCCTGCTCATGGGCAGACTGGTCCTGCTGTGCCTGTGTCCCCAAGGTGTGTCCAGCTCTCCACAAGCTCAAGAGGAGCTCCTCCCACAGCCCCTCACCCCCTGCTTGACCCCATAGAGCCAGGCTCTCCAGAAGGGAGCCCAGAACCTGTCTGTGCCCCAGGCGCCCACAAACCACAGCATGGGATGTCCTCCTCAGTGGAGGAGGTCTGTGTGTCCTCAGGGGAAGGCTTCTTCTTGGAGAAGCTGATGATCCTGGTGATCTTCTTCCCTGCCGCCCGGCTCATTGAGCCCTTCAGGTCAGCCAAGCCACTCTTCTTGCCTTTCCCTGGAAGGGGGAGAGCCCTGATAGCCACGCACACCACATCACAGCACCCCCCTCACACCAGGATGAATGCTGCGAGGTGTGGTGCGCCTGACAGGAGGACAGCCTGTCCCAGGGGGTGCGGGGCCATACCGTGCTCGCAGGGCTCCCTGCGGGCCATGGGGGAGCAGGTCTCGCCTGTCGCCACGCTGTCCGAGTCAGAGGTGTGCTTCTCCTGTGACAGCCTCTGCAGGGAGGGGCAGGGCAGGTGCCCTTTCAGCAGCACCCCTCTGCTCAGCCCCAAGCAATGACCACGGTCTGACCATGGCCTTTATCCCTTCAGCACAGGGCTGGGACATCCGCCTGGTGCTGGGGAGCCCCGTGAGCCCCACAGACCTGCCGTGAGGATGGGAAGGGCTCCCTACACAGCACCAGGAGCTCAGTGCTCATGATATCCTCCTGGTCTCCCTTTCTCCAGGCTTAGTCACCAGCCCCACACAGCGCTTTGGCTGATCCCTATAACCCTGACCAGAAAGCGTCACCTTATCCAGGTCCATCTTGCAGGGCATCACTGGGGACGTGGGGGCTTCCATCCCGCCCACTCCTGGACTGCTCGCTTCCTTTATCACCTATGCAGAAAGGGCAAGCTCCTGTCTCACCACCTGAGTCCAGCTGGCCCACGGGGAGCACGGCCGTGGACTCTGCAGCACCTGTCCCTGCTGCCTGCCACGAGGACAGGGTGGCAAGCTCTGCTTGGGACACAAACCCTGCTTGCCTGGGGCCTTGCACCCAGCCTAGCCCTTCCAAACCTCAACCATTGTTAAGGTGGATGGTCAAAGGATCTGGAAATTTTGGACGGGAGGGATTCAGGCATCAAGTCACACAACTGTCCTGCAGGCTCGGCACTCCTCAGGGCCCCCCATGGCACATCTCCCCATGGGAGAAGCATTGCCAGCCCCTTTCCCAGCCGTGGGCTCAGCAGCAGAGCCAGTCCCTTCCCCACCTCCCACCCCCAGAACAAAGACAGGAAATGGCCATGGGGAAGAGGAGGAGGAGAACAAACATCCCCACCCCGCTCCCCGTCGAGGGGCTCGGGCTATCAGCACAGGAGACGCCCAAGGCTTGGGAAGTGGCTGGCCAGCCTTCCCCACGGCTGATAAGAGACAGAGGAAAGCCCCCTTCCTTCCCCTTCCCCGGGGCAGCCCACTCCCCATCGCTGCCTGATGAAGGCTGTGGCTGGAGGGGGGCAGTGGTGGTACCTTCAGCCACTCCTCAGCCTGCTCCTTGCTCTGCACGGCCAGCACCAGTGGCTCAGCCCCCGGCAGGGAGAAACGCAGCTCGTGCTTCTTGCGCCGCCCATCCTTGGGGACATAGATGACATTGCAGGTGCCCAGGGGCACTTCCACGTGTGGCTGCCGGTCCTTGGAGCTTTTGTAGCACTGGGAGAAGCAAAGACAACTGCTCAGGGTTCAGCCTCTCCTGCTGCCATGCCCAGACAGGGTCCTTGCAGGCTTCTGAGCCAGCGGCACAGACGGAGGTGGTTCCATCTCTGCAACCCAGTCACACAAGGGCTGCGGGATGCCCTCTCCCTTTGCTCCACTAGCCAAGGGGATCCCAACAGTGAGGAGCCCTTCTTTTGCTTGCAAGAGAAGCAACAGCTACCCCTGCACACGCTGCAGGGCAGTCACGGCCTCAGGGCAGGTTTGGTTGGCTATTTTTATTTGCTCTGGGGCTGACCTCTCTCCAATGCACCCGGGGGGTCTCTCCCCACCCCTCATGCTGCACCAGCTCTGGGCTCACCAGCAGTTTGCCGTCCCGTATGATGGTGAGCTGCTTGGCCCACTGCCCAAAGCGCTTCTTGCGCAACAGGAAGGCACAAATCCTGCAGTCCTTCACCAGGTTCATGGAGGCTTCCTGTGACGGCCACTGGTGTGTCAGCTGCTGGCCCTTCCCGTCCTCCTCCTCCTCGTCATAGGACTCATAAGAGCTGCTCATGGCATCTGAGTCGTTGTCTGGAAGAGAGCAGGCCTGTCACCCCAAGCAGCTCCCCGTTCCGGGGAGCTTTTTTTGCAGGCCAAAAGCCATCCCCAGGTGCACCTGTTCAATCCTCAGGGCTGGCTTATTTCCTTGCAAGCCTCAAACCTGCAGAGGCTGGATGAAACCATCTACCCTCACTACAGGATCATGCATTGGCTCTCTGCCCTACACATCCCTAGCAGGGTATGGAGCAGCAGTTTTATGGATATGCCAAAATACGTCACAGGGTCTGAGAGTGGAGGTGTGGGAGGTGGCTGCCTGGCGCACCGGAGAGCAGCGGGTCAGGAGGGCCCAGTGCCTCCCCATCCTGCTGGCACCACAGTGAAGGCACAGCCACATCTCACCCCTGGGTACACCAACAGCTCCTCTTGGCTTGGCTCAAGCCCACATTTCAGGGCTGGACTTTGCCAAAGCTCTCTGTCCCCTGCCAGGTGAAGGCACCCGGGTACCTACAGGAGTTCTTCTGCTCCCCGTTCATCCTGGTGATGGGGTAGTTGCTGTCTGCGTCCTCGTAGTAGCCATCCTCGATCGAGTTGGGGGGGCTGGAGCTGTCTGCAGAGGAAGCAGAGGCGGCTGGAGCTGCTGGCCGTGCATGAGCCTGTGTGTGGGGCAGAGTGAAGCACCCCCTTCCCCAAGCACATGCAGACACCAGGGGTGTCAAAGCATCGCTCCCTCCATGGCCCCAACCTCAGCTCATCGCTCCCTTCCCCGCCAAGCCGGAGGAAACAACTCCTTGCACAACCAGCGTGTTGGGATGGGAAGGAAGCAGGAGAGGAGGGTGTGGGCAGTTTCCTTCCCCAGGGGGAGCCAGCACACTGCCAAGGGCCCCGCTCGGCCGGGTAGTGTGGCAGGGGCAGGCGGGAGCGGGACTCACTGCGTGAGGTGATGTACTCAGGGGCCTTCCCTGGGCCCAGGGGCAGTGCTTCCTCGTAGTAATCCTCAGGCGGGGGGGTGGTGGGCAGTGGTGGAGGAGGGTCTGTAGGAACCTGTGGCAGAAACCCCCCCCTGCATGAGCGGAGAGGGCCCCAATGGGCAAGCGTGTGCAATGGTGGCAAGGGACAGGGATGTGTCCCAGCCACGGCCACCGCCCCGTGCTGGAGTGGGGATCTCACAGCCAGGTACACCAACGTACAGGTTTTGCTGGCTGGCTCCTCGTAAGCTCCAAGCCAACTCCATTGCTGGTGTCCCCATCCTCCTCCTGCATGTCCTGGAGGTCCCGCAGGTCACAGTCTGGGTTGGGAGCAAATGTTGAGGGTGAAGGGAGAAGTCCCCAGGCACAAGGATGCAGCTTTCACCACTGTTCTTGTCCCCTCTGAGTGCCCCCACTGTCGGCTGGGACCCAGCCCAGCGCAGCACCTGCCCAGTAAGACCCCAGCATCGCTCTGGGATGGCCACACATACCGAACTCCTCGAAGAGAGACTCCACGAAGCTGGTGCCATTGCTCAGGGAGGCTGTGTTCATGTACATGAAGTCTGCATCCTTCCCTGAGGGCGAGGGGGAAGCTCTCAGCCCAGAGACAGGCAGAACAGCTGGGTGAGCACCTGCACCTCCCCAAAATCACCCACCCAAGCTACCAGATCACCTCCCGGCCAGGCAGGCTGTTCCACGCCATGGGGCAGGAGGAGATGAGGAGCCCCCAGGGACACTGCCAGCCCCCAGGGAGGGCTGGAACCCTCTGGATGCCCAGCCCCTCTGCCTTCCTGTGATCCTGAAATCACTGTGCTCAGCACAAACTGGGAGTCTGAGGGCATCTGCGAGGCAGCGCTTCCAGCAGAAGCAGGTGCTGATGCTAGCGCCCAGAGAAGCAGGGGAGAGCCAGGAACAAGAGAGAGGAGCAAAGCACCCTGAGGGTGGTGCTGGGCACTGGAAATGGAGGCAGCAGGCACATGGGCAGGGAAACTCATCCGTGCCTTCAATAAGCTTCTCCTTGCCCCGCTGGGCAGGGCCCATCTGTGGTCCCAGGCTGGGGACACACTGCCACCAGGGCAGCCACCAGATCCCTTGGGAGCAGGACACTGACCTGTGGGTGGCTGCAGCTTCTGCAGGATGGTGGAGACAGCCAGCTTCTTCTCCTGCGTGGTGGCACTCAGGTACTCATGGTCCAGCAGCTTGAGCAGGATGCTTAGCTCGGGTAGGAGCTGGTCCAGCACTGGGGGGAAGCAGGGAAAAGCCCTTCAGCTGGGGGGGGGTCGGGGTGCTGGGCTTTGCCTGCAGCCCCCCAGCACATGGGGAAGTGGGGAGCAGGAGGACAGAGACACAGTTCCCAAGCCAGCCTGGTGGCCTGGCACATTTTAATCCAACTTCCAGCTCAAAACTGGGGCAAGCTCAGGAATTTCATCAGCCTATGCCTTGGGGACGTTTCTCCCCTTTTCACAGCCAGACATGCGATGCACACTTGGCCAGAGCAATACCAGAGGTGCTAAAATAAATGAGGAAAGAGGATTAAGATGAAGGGGATGGACCACGTGGAAGATCCCTGCACGGCTGCCAAGCACACATGTGCTCCTTCTGCACGCACACTCACCCAGGCGCCGGCACACAGCCCACTGAGCCCGCCGATGGAAACACGAGCTCTGCAGGCTGCTGCCATCAAAGGGCTCAGCACGTGAGTGTTTCCACACAGTTAAAACCACCCCTCTGTCCTCCACGCGGGGTATCGTGCTGTGTGCTGTTGGAAGGAAAGAAGGAAAGGACACCCAGACGCCACCTCCAGAGCCACCTGGCAGTGCCGCTCCAGGACAGAACTGTCCTCCCCAGCACAGCACCCTGCAATGCCACTAGGAGCCAAAAAATAGCAGGATAGATGGGGAGAACCCAGCAAAAGACAAGAAAAGAGAGCAGGGCTACAAAAAAATCACTTAATGCAGTGTTTGGTGTGTTGGCAAGGAGGGAGGGCAGCACCTGCAGAATCCAGTGCCTGAGACAGCCCAGCTCTGAGAGGCTGGGCTCAGGGGCTCCAGCAAACCTGCAGCTCTAGAGGCTATGGAGTGTGGGAAAAAATAATAATAATAACAATAAAATCTGCCATTTCTTCCAATGCAAGCATGAGCAGGATCTTGGCAGCAGCTGAGCATCATCACAGCACAGCTGGGGCAGCAGCTGTGCAGCTGGCTGTGGGTCTCCAGGGTCAGGGAAAGAGGCCAGAGGTGACCGCAGGGGAGGCTCAGACATGCTGACGATGGGGATGCTTGGCGGAGAGGAGGGGAGAGCACAGGCCGGAGCAGAGCACCAGGGCTGCTGGACAGGCTGCCTGGGCTGTACCTGTCACCTGCCAGGGAGGGGGACATGAGTGGCAGGGAGGCAGCCAGGGTGTTGGGAAGAAGAGCAGGCTGCCCCATAGCTGTGGGGCTGCTCAGCGATGCCGAGCTGGGCAGCAGCAAGGGCACATTTCCCAGGGCCAGGACAGGGTGCTGTGGCGCTGCTGATGTTGGATCCTCGTTACTTCTGCTCATAATAAGCTTCTGCTGGGCCCTATCCAAACTCCACCTGGCACCCAGCAAAACCTGGTTTGACCCAGCATTTTGGTGGCACAGCAGGGACAGCTGCTGTTAAATCCCGCCTACCTTCAACCCATGAACAAGTCCCTGGCAGGGCCAGTGCAGCAGGCTGGCAGCTCAGTAAAAACAACTTCATTTTCAAAACTTTTTAGCTGAAGGGGAGCCCTATGTGAGTGGGTTGATGCAGATCAGCACCTGGCCAAAACGAGCCGCCCAGGCGAGAAGGCAGCACGCCTGGCCCCAGAGCACTGCCTCCCCGGGATGAGGCAGGATGTGGCTCACAAGCCTCTTCCTGCCAATGGGCTTCTATCTCCGCAGACCTTCTGCTTCCTCCTCCCTGCCCTGCGCCAAGCTAAACACCAGCATCAGCCCTTTGGAACAGCTGTCTTTGCCAGCACCAGCCTCCTGTGGGCAGCCCCCAGGGGCAGGTAGCCCCCAGGAGGGGAGCTGGCAGCATCCCACAGCCCACGGGGATGGAGAGGGCACACACAGCAGGACTGGGCCTCCTGCTCAAGCTCTGGAGTTGGAAACAGAGATGTTTGAGATGTTTGTAGAGTGCTACATGCTTCTGCTCAGCAGTGCTCTCCAGGCGAGGCGAGACATCTTCCTCTGCCTGGCCAGGGTACAGGCACAGCACCTGGCAGGGTGCTGGGCTAGAAAGGAAGCTGCTGGGACAAAAAGTGAGACACAGATCTGTCCACCCAGCACCTAGGAAGACACTGACCCACCATACCGCTCCAGCTGAGCTCACCACATGTTCCTACAGGAGAGAGAGGACCATGCCCATGCCCTACGCCACCTTCCCACAGCCACGGTGCCATGAGCATCCCCATCCCCTGCCATGAACACATCTCCCACCACAGCCCCCAGCCCTGCAGCAGGGATTTGCACCACCTGAGGGCCAAAGGGTGAGCAGGGCCCTATTAATAACCCCAAAGCTGGTGGCGTTCACAGCCAGAGGGGTGAAGGGACCCCCATGCACACACGTGGTGAGAACGGCCGCAAAGCAAGGCTCGCCGCAGCCCCCGCAGGCGCATGAAGACGAGCAGGGCCAGCACTGAAGGCTCCTTTGTTCCCCCCAGCTGAGCCGTACCCTGTGTCTCCAATGTCAAACATGCCCCCAGAGCTGGGGGGGGGACGAGCTGCTCAAAGGGGCCTGTGATCCACAGCGGGCTTGCGGAGCTGAGCCTGTGCCTGGGGGAACGGAGGAAGGGAAGGAATTAATTTCCTGCGCTCGTTAGGCTCCCAGCCCAGCTGAGGTTAATGGGGGCTGCAGGAAGCCAGGAGAGATCGCCCACGGGCTGTGGATGGCACCAACGGGCACTTTAGAAGGGCCAGGGGCTCAGGTGGCAGGGGGGTGGGCATGTGCTTGGTGCCAGGGCACAACCGGGGATGCAGAGCCCGGGATGGAGGTGGCAGCAGGATGTCACAGGGCACTGCGGGACAAGGTGGTGCAGCACTGGAGCACTGAGCAGGTGAAGGGGCCACAGGGACCCCAGGTGCCTGCCGTGCCATGGCCTCGCTCACAGGGCACCTCCAGCACTGACAATCGCGTCCCACCTGTTGGGAGCTTCAGGGGTTTCTCCCACACCCTGAATCCCATGGGAGCACCCCACTGTGCCAGGCACAGGGTTTGGACACAGATATCCCAGCGGAGGGAGCGGCACCAGCCCTGGGACAGACACAGACCCTGCTCCCCACTTCCAGCCCATCCAAGCACCGCAGCAGGGATGGGAAGGGGGCAGAGCCCGAGCCTCTCCTGGGAAGCCCAGGAGCTGTGGCAGCAAATGGTTTTAGCAGGAGCCAAGCCGGGCTGGATGGGCTGGGGGAGACCTAGGGCAGCACCCCTGGGTCAGGGAGAGCTGCGGAACAGCCCCAGGCCATTGCTGCTGCTGAGACAGAGAGGCCCCAGGGGCAAACATGCCCCAGGGGCAGCACCAAGTGGGATGCTGGCAGAGGAGCTGCATCCCCTCCCCGCAGCAGCACCCCACTGCCCCTCCCCACCTTGTGCCCAGGCCAGCTCTAATTTTAGACCCTGGGAGTGCATCCCCCTCAGGGAGCCAGGCATCCCAGGCTGAGATAAGGGTTTGGGAGCAACTGCAGAGCCCACCTCCCCCTCCCAAGCCTCTGCTCAGTCATGGGAGCAGGCAGCAGGACTTGCTCCAGCAACCTGCAGGAGGAGGAGGAGGAGGAGGAGGAGGAGGAGGAGGAGGAGGAGGAAGATGCTCCAGCCCAGCTGATGCATTAGCTTCCTGGTGCGCAGTTCAGCTTTCTGCAGACACAGAGACAGGACAACGCAGGTGGGGTTGCAAAGCAAAGCTGCTCAGCACTCACAGCCCAGAAGAGAGCCCCAGGGGGGAGGTGCAGGAGGTGCAGTTTCCCAGCCAGCAGCACCATGAAATCACTGCAGAGGACTCTGCCCCACAGACACAGCTCTGCCGCCTGCTCCCCCCCCAGCCCCGGCCACCCTTCCTCCTGCGCCAGGTGGAGGCCGGGGGGCGAGGGAGGCTGGGGGAAATCGGATGCTGGGAGCGACTGCCATTGTTTGTAGCTAAAATAAAAGCCAAGCAAAAATAAATCCTTCCTGTTGGCGCAAGCAGGGCTGCAGGATGCTGTGCCTGCAGAGGAGTGCTGTTCAGAGCCGTCCCCGGCAGTAAACAAACGGTTTTAGCCCCAGTTAGAGATGCCATAAAGGGGGGGGGGGGGTTGGGACGGGGAAGGGGACACAGGCAGGGACCCTGCAGGGAAGCCAGACCCTCTGCTCACACCTCCCCAGCCCGGTGTCAATGGGCTGCTTCCATTCACATGGAGCTCCTTTGCCATGGACAGCAGGCAGGCATGGGGCTGGTGATAAAGCATCGTGGCAGGCAGGCCCCCAACGCTGTCCCTTCATGTCCTCGCTGCCGGATGGCCCTGCAGGTCCTCACCCAGTGGCACAGGGCATGCAGGATCAGCTAGGTTGTGCTGGCAGGCGAGGAAATCAGGCAGAAAAGTACCCCTCCTGCCCAGCAGCTTGGCATGCTCCCACATGGAGGGGTTGAGAGAAACGCCAGCCATTAATTATCACACTTAAGCTCTGGAAACATCCCATAACAGTGGAAGAATTGCTAAGGGGCCACTTGATGCCCGTGAATCATTTCTTCCCTGGAAACAAGGGCCCCTTGAGCAGGGCGGATGTGGGGAGTGCCTCAGCCTCCACTTCCAACTCCAGCAGCAGGAGCCTGAGTGTTTTGGGCTGGCTCCTGCATGGATGGAGCCCATACTCATTGCTCCAACCGCCACCAGCAGCGATTGATGCCTTCACCAAGCACCCCGGGCAGACATCCCCTCTCCTCCAGCCACTCATTCCCAGCTCAGGTGCCGCAGCATCCCCAAGCGCTGCCGAACAGGAGGTGGCTCTGACCTCTCGGGCTGCCCCTTATGCCCCAGGGGGAGCCCGTCCCCCCAGAGATCCCCAGCAGCCTGTGAAGTCAAGGCTGCATCAGGCAGGGCAGGGACACACACCTCCCAGGGAGTGCATCACCGTGACCTTGCAGTAATTAAGAACCTTGGCTGATAATCTGGGAAAATCAGCCCTGGGAGGTTAAGGTGAAGCCTGCTTGCTCAAGGGGACGGTGAGTCCTCCCCAGTGGAGCCACCCCTGGCTGCTCAT